AGTCTGTCTCACGTTTTAAAGGTTTTCAAAACAATCCTTCGCAGTTCATCTGCTTTATTGGCTCTTTTAACCCTTTAAAGCCCGATCCAAGAATAAAACAAAACAGAAAATTGCTTTTTTTTTGTTTGAATTCCTTATTTGCCCTTCTAACAAAGTATGTAAAAAGAAAAAACCGAAGTACATTTTTGATATTAATAATTTATTACTATGCGATAAGTCAAGTTTATTTTTTGTGTAGTCTTTACTGGCTGTTATCAGGTATATCTGATTGTGTACAATAGGATTTTGAGCAAAGTTTTTACCATTAAATTATGCAAAAGGTGTCAGACGCAAAACATTTCAGGAACCATATGTATCAAATATGATACATTTGGTATTATAGGGTTAACAGAGGAGACAGACATCAGACTGCTTTAGGCTGAAACTATCCTAGTTTACGCACTGATTAAGAGCATAAGCAGATCCTGGACCACGATTGGAACCAGATTATATTAGAACACCAGACCTCTGTGAAAACAGCCATCTAAAAGTTCCTCTAGCTGAAGATGATCGAAATAAACAGCAAAGGTGACAACATACAGGTGCTGGTCATAAAATTAGAATATCATGAAAAAGTAGATTGATTTCAGTAATTCCATTTAAAAAGTGAAACTTGTATATTATATTCATACATTACATACAAACTCATATATTTCAGATGTTTATTTTGTTTAATTTTGATGATTACAAATGACAACAAATGAAAATCTCAAATTCATCATATCAGAAAATTAGAATATTACTGAAGACCAATAAAAACAAAGGATTTATAGAAATGTTGGCCAACTGAAAAGTATGAACATGAAAAGTATGAGCATGTACAGCACTCAGTATTTAGTTGGGCCTCCTTTGGCCTGTATTACTGCAGCAATGCGGCGTGGCATGGAGTCGATCAGTCTGTGGCACTGCTCAGGTGTTATGATAGCCCAGGTTGCTCTAATAGTGGCTTTTAGCTCTTCTGAATTGTTGGGTCTGGTGTATTGCATCTTCTTCTTCACAATACCCCATAGATTTTCTATGGGGTTTCTATGGGGTTAAGGTCAGGAGAGTTTGCTGGCCAATTAAGAACAGGGATACCATGGTCCTTCAACCAGGTACTGGTAGCTTTGGCACTGTGTGCAGGTGCCAAGTCCTGTTGGAAAATGAAATCTGCATCTCCAAAAAGTTGGTCAGCTGCAGGAAGCATGAAGTGCTCTAAAACTTCCTGGTATGTGGCTGCGTTGACCCTGGACCTCAGAAAACACAATGGACCAACACCAGCAGATGACATGGCACCCCAAACCATCACTGACTGTGGAAACTTTACACTGGACTTCAAGCAACGTGGATGAAGTGCCTCTCTTCTTTTCCTCCAGACTCTGGGACCTTGATTTCCACAGGAAATGCAAAATTTACTTTCATCAGAGAACATGACTTTGGACCACTCACCAGCAGTCCAGTCCTGTTTCTCTTTAGCCCAGGCAAGACGCTTCTGACGCTGTCTGTGGTTCAAGAGTGGCTTGACACAAGGAATGCGACAGCAGAAACCCATGTCTTTCATACGTCTGTGTGTGGTCGTTCTTGAAGCACTCACTCCAGCTGCAGTCCACTCTTTGTGAATCTCCCCCACATTTTTGAATGGGTTTTGTTTCACAATCCTCTCCAGGGTACGGTTATCTCTCTTGCTTGTACACTTTTTTCGACCACATCTTTTCCTTCCCTTCGCCTCTCTATTAATGTGCTTGGACACTGAGCTCTGTGAACAGCCAGCCTCTTTAGCGATGACCTTTTGTGTCTTGCCCTCCTTGTGCAAGGTGTCGATGGTCGTCTTTTGGACAACTGTCAAGTCAGCAGTCTTCCCCATGATTGTGTAGCCTATAGAACTAGACTGAAAGACCATTTAAAGGCTTTTGCAGGTGGTTTGAGTTAATTAGCTGATTAGAGTGTGGCACCAGGGGCCATCAATTTTGAACCTTTTCACAATATTCTAATTTTCTGATATGATGAATTTGAGATTTTCATTTGTTGTCATTTGTAATCATCAAAATTAAACAAAATAAACATCTGAAATATATGAGTTTGTATGTAATGTATGAATATAATATACAAGTTTCACTTTTTAAATGGAATTACTGAAATCAATCTACTTTTTCATGATATTCTAATTTTATGACCAGCACCTGTATTTATACAGCCTTGGTGCTGTTGTGTTTGTTTGCTTTGTTTTTTAATTAGAAGCATTTTGTTTGTGGGGCAGTGATGCCCATTCTACTTCCAAGGCTGGAATTCAAACTGCAGTGAAGACATTTTTTGAATTAACAGAACATTTTATGAGGAAGTATTTTTATTTTTTTTCTGCAGCCAATTTGTGATCAGAAGTCAGGTTTTCTAGTCTCCCATTCAATTTCATTTCATCATTTCTACAGGTGCTGGTCATAAAATTAGAATATCATGAAAAAGTAGATTGATTTCAGTAATTCCATTTAAAAAGTGAAACTTGTATATTATATTCATACATTACATACAAACTCATATATTTCAGATGTTTATTTTGTTTAATTTTGATGATCACAAATGACAACAAATGAAAATCTCAAATTCATCATATCAGAAAATTAGAATATTGTGAAAAGGTTCAAAATTGATGGCCCCTGGTGCCACACTCTAATCAGCTAATTAACTCAAACCACCTGCAAAAGCCTTTAAATGGTCTTTCAGTCTAGTTCTATAGGCTACACAATCATGGGGAAGACTGCTGACTTGACAGTTGTCCAAAAGACGACCATCGACACCTTGCACAAGGAGGGCAAGACACAAAAGGTCATCGCTAAAGAGGCTGGCTGTTCACAGAGCTCAGTGTCCAAGCACATTAATAGAGAGGCGAAGGGAAGGAAAAGATGTGGTCGAAAAAAGTGTACAAGCAAGAGAGATAACCGCACCCTGGAGAGGATTGTGAAACAAAACCCATTCAAAAATGTGGGGGAGATTCACAAAGAGTGGACTGCAGCTGGAGTGAGTGCTTCAAGAACCACCACACACAGACGTATGAAAGACATGGGTTTCTGCTGTCGCATTCATTGTGTCAAGCCACTCTTGAACCACAGACAGCGTCAGAAGCGTCTTGCCTGGGCTAAAGAGAAACAGGACTGGACTGCTGGTGAGTGGTCCAAAGTCATGTTCTCTGATGAAAGTAAATTTTGCATTTCCTTTGGAAATCAAGGTCCCAGAGTCTGGAGGAAAAGAAGAGAGGCACTTCATCCACGTTGCTTGAAGTCCAGTGTAAAGTTTCCACAGTCAGTGATGGTTTGGGGTGCCATGTCATCTGCTGGTGTTGGTCCATTGTGTTTTCTGAGGTCCAGGGTCAACGCAGCCACATACCAGGAAGTTTTAGAGTACTTCATGCTTCCTGCAGCTGACCAACTTTTTGGAGATGCAGATTTCATTTTCCAACAGGACTTGGCACCTGCACACAGTGCCAAAGCTACCAGTACCTGGTTGAAGGACCATGGTATCCCTGTTCTTAATTGGCCAGCAAACTCTTCTGACCTTAACCCCATAGAAAATCTATGGGGTATTGTGAAGAAGATGCAATACACCAGACCCAACAATTCAGAAGAGCTAAAAGCCACTATTAGAGCAACCTGGGCTATCATAACACCTGAGCAGTGCCACAGACTGATCGACTCCATGCCACGCCGCATTGCTGCAGTAATACAGGCCAAAGGAGGCCCAACTAAATACTGAGTGCTGTACATGCTCATACTTTTCATGTTCATACTTTTCAGTTGGCCAACATTTCTATAAATCCTTTGTTTTTATTGGTCTTCAGTAATATTCTAATTTTCTGATATGATGAATTTGAGATTTTCATTTGTTGTCATTTGTAATCATCAAAATTAAACAAAATAAACATCTGAAATATATGAGTTTGTATGTAATGTATGAATATAATATACAAGTTTCACTTTTTAAATGGAATTACTGAAATCAATCTACTTTTTCATGATATTCTAATTTTATGACCAGCACCTGTATATAGCGCCAATTCACAACATGTTGTCTCAAGGCACTTTACAGAGACGATTCAACCAGATCATACAACCACATCTCTCCCATCCAGGAACAAGAACAACATTCTCCGAAATGGGCTTTCTTTATATAACTGCCCCTAAAATATAAAAGAGTGAAAGTTATTCACTGTTTATTAACAATTCTGTTATTTTGTATCTCAATAAACCTAGAAATTTTGTTTTTTATTTTTTTTCATTTGTTTATTTATTTATTTATTTTGTTTTTTAATGCATCTGTATAAATAAACTGCTCTTTAGTGGAATGGTTGAGCTGTGGCTTTCAAATGTGGGTCTATTGGGGCTCAGAAAATACAAGAACAAAACCTTACAAATTATTATTAGAAGATTAGATTTGCTTATCATTATACATTTTGATATATTCAAATCATCAGTATGCAACGTATTTTAAAATCATATATAAAAATTTAAACCACAAAGTATTTAAAATTGAACTGTGAAGCTTTTCACCTGTGTAACTTTGTAAGAAAGGGAGTATCCTACTAGTGGAAATGCCTGTTTTCATTTAGAAACAACCTACTTGTGTGAATAAGGACCTTAAATAAACTCAAAATAAAACACGGAGCACAGGTAATTAAGCAAACACTAAGCCCAGCCGTCCAACTTTAGAGAGAGGATCCATTTCTTTTGATCTCAACAATTTGTTGACATGTTCTCTATTCAGAGGGATTATAATACTGAGTTTGAAAGAATTAATGTTGTCAATATGTATGTCTTTATTTATTTTGCAGTAATGTCTGATAGTTTGCAAACTTTTTGTGGGCCGAAGCTCATGCTGTTTTTAGGGTGGGGTGATGAAAAGTGAGCCACTGCAGCAGGCTATGCTACATTTTGTTCTTATGTCCCTCTTGGATTCAGATATGCTCATTATGTTGCTCTGTTTTACTCTCACAGCTGCAGACGTTCAACACCTCGGCCCCCTGCAGCACAGTGGAGGATCTTACCACTGGAGCAGCAATGTCACAAGTACTCCATCAGATGTAAGAGGTCACTCTGCATGTTTAGGATGGTCTGTCTGTAATAAATAAACATCTGCAATGTTTATTGACCTATAGAGATACTAGTCTGGTTAAAACTGGTTAAAATAATACTTTAGAAGACTTTCTTTCTTACATTTAATGGGGCGATAGTGGTGTTGGTTGAAGAAGGCCCTGCAAACAGAGGGTTGTTGGTTAAAGCTTTCATTGTCGTTGTGTCCTTGGGCAAAAGGCTTCACCCGCATTGTCTACTGATGGTGGTCAGATGGCCCGGTGGCGCCAGTATACGGCAGCCTCACTTCTGTCAGTGAGCCCCAGGGCAGCTGTGGCTACAATGTAGTTTGCCACCATCAGTGTGTGAGTGAATGACTGATTGTAGATTAAAGCACTTTGGTGAAGTCCTCTGACTTGAAAAAGCGCTATAGAAGTACAGGCCATGTAGCAGTAATGTACTTAGCTGTTTCAATTTCAACAGTGGTTTGATTGATTTTGTTTTGTAAAGCTACGTTCCAACTCTGCCAGTGAGATCATAACATGGCTTTAGTTAGGGATGCACGATATTGGGATTTTGGCCGATATCCGATATGCCGATATTTTAAAACTCATGTAGCCGATAACCGATATCGATACCGATGTTAAAGCTGGACAAAAACAAGTAGTCATTGAAAAGAGCAGTTTTGTTATCCATTTCTGACACTTTGAAAAATAATATACTCAAATATATTTTCATATGCTGATATCAAATTGATTTTTAAAAACGCGGTATCGATTTATTTTATTTTCAAAATCTCGTGAAATTTCATCGTTCTGTTACAAACTTTCGTGATATTTTGCAAATTCTTGTGAGATTTTGTTAGTAAAATAGATTGATACTGCGTCAATATATCAACATATAAAAATATGGCAACATTTCGTGAATTTTCGGGGGATTTCGTAGCATAACGATGACATATAGCAATATTTCATTAGTAAAAGAGATTGATATGGTGTTTTTAAATGGCAATATATCAGCATATGAAGACATTGTGATATTTTAATGTATCAAAATTTTTTCCCTCGTCTTTAGAAGTTTTTAAGTCTGTAAAAAGAAGTTTTTGAGGAAGAAGAAGTAGTATTTATTTATTTTTTTTTAGACTTTATAAACTCAGAAGCTGATCAAATATCGGGTTAAATATCGGTGGGGTGGCCGATGTCCGATATTCAGTTTTAAGGCCGATACCGATAGGGGGCCGATTATATCGTGCATCCCTAGTTTTAGTTACGTAATCTTACAGATCAGTGGTTTAATCTGATATTTGTCAGTTTCTCTCATATAATTAATCAACCATCAGTTGATGAATGATATGACTGACTTAAAAATATGTGATTTCACTTTTTTTAAAGATGTTGCTCGCATTCTTTCACTGTTCTTCTGCTGTTTGCTCTGTAGAGACCCCACATGGTTCAACGAAGCATGGATGGGTCGCATCAAAACAGATGTTGAGGACAATTGGAGACTGAAGGTATGCCAAAGGCAGACACGTCCTGAGCTTTGGTCTCCTCTGACTGAATGCTTTTTCTGCCTCATAGTTGCAATGAAGCACAAACCTGCTCAATTGTTGTCATCAGAAAGTGTTGATTGTTGGAGGAGAGGCATAAAAAACACCGAAGCAACAGCAACACTCCATTAAAATGTTGTTCAGACTGTCAGGAAAAGATAAAAGGTCACTGTTCTTATGACAGCTAATGTTAATCCAGGTAGTTCTATGTTGTTTATCTACATCGATGTTAGAAAGTAACTTTCTTCATATGATTTACAAATCTCAGTTTGTGTTTTCAGCTCAGTAATTATGTTCATCTTGTATGTCAAAGTTATTCCCTGAACAAAAGCGTACAACACAGCACTGAAGCATTCTATATTGTTATTATACAGCCTAGTGGGGAATCAACTATGGAGGACCAACTCTGCCATATTTTAAAAATAAATACAGAAATAAATAAATACTCAATAAATAAATAAGCATACAATTAATTGCCACCAAAAATCCAATAAACAATTAAATGTCAGTGGAAATTAAATTATACAGTGAGACATAAATGTATATAACTCTTTAAATTAGCTTCTTTATTTATTTGCCTTTGTAATATTTACCTTATTTATTTTTTTGTCCTTTATAATCTTCAACATTATTTTCTTAATTACTTATATTTTTAAGTATTTATTTATGTGCATGTTATAATATTTTTGTCTGTTTTATTCTTTCTTTGTATTTTTTTACCTTAGTTATTTCTTTGCTTTTATGTCTCACTGTATAATTTAATTTCTACTTACATTTATTTGTTTATTGTATTTTCGGTGGCAATTAATTGTATGCTTATATATTTATTAAGCATTTATCTATTTCTGTATTTATTTTTAAACATGGCGGAGTTGGTCTTCCATAATCATCGAGCTTTGCTGCACCTATCACACAGCTGTGATGCAGCAATTCCAGTTCGGATTTCTGTTCCTTGTTTGGATTCTGGCTCCTTTCAATTGTTAAGAATTACCATAAAGGTTATCATGTTATAAATGAGTTTGTCTGGATAAAATGCTCTAAAATTCCTAATGAAATGTTATTCCTTAAACATCTAACTTTGTGTGAACTTTGCTGTAAGGTATCACACAGTTATTTTAAACCAGTATATAAATATCAGATCTATGAACTCTGAATTAATCTTGTGAATGTTCTTTTCAAAGAGTTCAATTCAGTTTGTTTTTATAAGGCCAATTCACAACACGTCATCTCAAGGCACTTTACAGTTCAACAGATCATCCAGTGAAACTGATTCAAAGTTTAAGGAAAACCAGTTGATTGCATCGACTCATTGACTCTTCAGCAATTCCTCACACTAAGCATGCTTGTAGCGACAGTGGAGAGGAAAAACTCCCTTTTAACAGGAAGAACCTCCAGCAGAACCAGGCTCAGTGTGAGCGGCCATCTGCTGAGGCGGACTGGGGTTCAAGGAGACAGAAGCAGAGATACAAAAAGCAGCTGTAAAAAGGCGGCCCCGTCCAGGAAACACACAGCCAGGCAGACGAGCTCTGAGCCAGCTCCCATGTCAGAGGATGAAGAGAGCACATCCACTCAGTCACGGTCAGAGAAACAGGACCACACTGGAAAACAGGCCAAGCTCCAACATCTAAGCAAAGGTGTTGATGGCAGCAACACAGCTGATATTTCTCTCCAGGATGGAGTCACAGCCAAACAGGAACAGTCGAGGCGAAGCTAGAGATTGAGAAAAGGCAGAGAGAGCAGAACGTTAGAGATTGAACTAACAGATTCTGCAGAGTGGGAGAATAGAGATATGATAAAATGGGGGTCCCTATGTCCTCCAGCAGTCTAAGCCTATAGCAGCATAACTATAGAGATAGTTCAGTATAACCTGAGCCACTCTGTGTCGGTGTCTGCCTCATGGACTAAAACTGGTAGTTGGTTCCACAGGAGAGGAGCCTGATAACTAAAAGATCTGCCTCCCATTCTACTTTTAGAAATTCTAGGAACCACTAGTAAACCTGCAGATTGAGAGCGAAGTGCTCTGTAAGGAACATAAGGAACAATCAGATCTCTGATAAAAGTTACACTTTCACATGGAGCTTTATTGTTTTAACACCTCATTAAAACACATATACATATATTAGGGCTGAACGATTTTGCCAAAAATCAAAGTTGAGATTGTTTTCAACCAATTTCGGAATTGCGATTTTATTGCGATAATCCTTTTCACTAAAAAACATGCATGTCGATGTTTTAATCCAATGTTTCAGGTTTTCCATGACCTTGAAAGCCTGCTTGTCCAGAATCCAGTGCTGCAGGACAGAAAAAGTTTTTACTTCTTCTATAATGCATAGATCTAGGTGCTAGCTGCAACTCTCTGTTCCCTTCTGTGTGAAAGCATGCCAATTTAACCGTATTACCGCTAGCTAAGAGGCTGGAGGGAGAAATTTATCGTCCCACTCTTGTTAAATATATTGTGACTAAAAACTCAGTGCCTCTGAGATTTAAAATTTTTTTTTTTTTTTTTTCTAAATTGCAAATATATTGCGAATGCAATTTATTGCCCAGCCCTAACATATATGCACTGCCTGATGCTTCAGGTACTTATGCTGCAAGACCTTTGTGTTATTTATTTTCTGTAATGCGGTTCTAGGTCGAGTTTCTGAGCTGAAGGAAAAAGCAGCGCATCAGAAGGTTTCAGAGTTTATATTCTCAGCGTCATTTTATGCACCTCAGTTCCACTCGACTTGAGATGGAAGAAGTGATGTTTTACTACTTTTACTGCAGGTTCTGTCCGCCTCTTCATAAAAAGAAAACAAAAAAAACCCAGAAAAAATAAACTAATGAAGTTAGGCTTAAAATCCTAAGTTTGGCAAAGTGCTTTTTATTCTATTGTACGCAGGATAAAAGGTTGGTGTTTGATGAGACGTAAAGTTAGAGGAAGAAGATATAAAAAAGGATGCACTCTCCCTGCAGAAGGTGCTCTACGATTTTAAATGAAGAACCAATTTCCTCAGGGAGCCCACCCTGAACACAACAATGGTGCAGCAAGTCAAAGACAAGTTCATTGGTGTTTAAATTCATAGAGAAATCATATTTAAATGTCCAATCATTCTAGGTTAAACATGTGTATAAGTGTACTATATATCAAATTACATTGTCCCAAAATTTAGAAATTTCTATAAAAAAAAAAAATCCTCTCTTAAAATCTGTGTTGTTTTTTTTCTGTTATCTTATGCAGGACAGTTAGCTATACGTCAGCCTGAACACCTAAATTTGGCCAATCATATATCAACGGTCATCTGTCAATCAAATTTCTTATAGTATCTTGATTCATATGTTGCATGTTTCCTCTGTCCATAGTGTTCCTTGACAGTGTCGTTTCTAAGTCACCAAATTAGTGCTACTTGGTCCCAATGGAATTTCCCATTGGGAACCTGCTAGCACTAAGATGCTAACTGGTTAGCCATATGCTTCAGAGAAACCAGCCATAACCAAACTTGCAAACCTTCCGCCACAACAGTCCCGCCCTCTTCATAAACGACCAAACGCATTCACTTTATTCACTTGTGTAAAGTCGTGCACAACTAGGGAGAATTATGAAATGCAAAGGTTGGAACAGTCATTTCCCCACGACTTTAATTATGCTGGCCATGCGCCATCCTTTGCATAATATAATCTCATTGACATTGTCGGCTGGTTGCTGACTGGTCAATTCTTTATTTAACTTTAAGTTACACTTTTTAATGCTGCATCACAAACATATGATGCTGCTGTGGATTCTTCTTTTCTGATATTAGACGCCACCAAGATTCGATGCGGACTGGGCATCCAAACTAAGAATAAAAAAAATAAAAAAAAAGACAATTCTGCTTGTATTAAAAGGTTAGAACGAGTTCCAATCAGTTATCAATTCTTGTTGCCCAACCCTCGTGATAAATATCACCATAATCAACGGATTGTGAACAACTTCTGAAACAGCTTTGCTGTCAAACTTGGATGATGACGAAGAAGAAACATCAGAAACGTTGGAAACAACTGTCTTTCCTTCTTGTATTGTGCTGTAAACTTGCAGTCTGTGTGGCACCTTCCCTTAATTGGCCAGAATATTAGGTACAGTTTCTCTACTTTAATGATAGTCTGAGAAGACAAGCAGCAACTCAGGAGCATTGCTGCCCTTCAATCAATCATAATTTGAAAAAAATTTTTCTGATTGAAATGCAACCTGCCACTGTAGCTTCACTGTTAAATATCGACTCACCAGTTCATTAATTTACCTGCATTTGGCCAGTGACTGGACAGTTGTTATTGTAATTTAATCCTTTTGCTTAATTCTTGAACTATTGAGGAAGTTTATCTTATCTTTTTCTTCTCAGATGAATAATTTGAAGAAGATCCTTCAGAAAGTGGTTGACTATTACAGTGAGGTATGCTTTCCATAGTCCCAGCTCAATTCCTTCTGTCTGCAGCTGTAGTTTTATTTTCATTTGATTTAAAAACTGTTTTGTCCATGAATGTCCGTGTACCATCAGGTTTTAGCTCAGGACATTTCTTACTTCCCTTTGCCGGACATGTCACTAGCAGCAGAGCACTCTGAGCCAGAGGAGATGGGAAGGTTGCTGCAGCTCATACTGGGCTGTGCTGTCAGATGTGAGCAACAACAAGGTACAGTATGTCTGCTGTCATGGATTTAACATGTTATCGATGTATAACACGTTTTTCTTTAGTCAAATGATGAATCTTTCCAGCCTTGCTGACTTTAGAAGCAGAAACTGAATGAAATGACTTTCTTCTTTGTTGGCAGAATACATTCAGATAATCATGACCATGGAGGAGTCTGTGCAGCATGTTGTTATGAAAGCCATCCAGGAGGTCAGTTCAGTAACATTTTCCCCCTTTCAAATTATATTTTGCACATACACAGACATATCATAGCGATTCTGTGTAAAACTATTAATTTGTTTTGAAAATATTCATCTTAGAGCAACTATGAAAGATGTTTTGTTGCTGGTTACAGTCATTCTAAAAAGGTTAAAAAACAATCCACTGGACTTTGTTTGCAAGTTTGAAGAAATTTTGCTTCCATCCAGGAAGCTTTTTCAATTCAAAATTTCAGAGCATTGAGTTTGAGGTTTTATACAGTAGCCTAACAGAGCCTTGTTTTGGCTTGGAAAACATGCAAATTGAACCGGATGGACGGGTCCACCCCTTTAGAATGGGAGTTGTTTGGTTTCTTTGTTAGCCTGTAAAACCCGATACCTGTCTATGTCTCTGAAAGGGGGAGTTGTTAAAGGGAATTGCTGGCCTGGCTGACAGGGGAGGTGTTCTGTTCCCCTGTAAGGGGGTGGGGGTTGGGATTATAGCGAGAAGGAATCAAATCAATCGCTGAATTGTAGGTTTTTGAAAGCTGAAACCTCAGTCCACCCTCTCGGTTTAAGGTTCCCATAATGCTCTTCAATGAGAGCTCTCCGCATTCTGGGATATATCTGCCTCTTCTGAGGCCTTTCTTTTCCTTTCATACACTTTATAGACACATTTTCTCTTACCACCCTCGGCCATTTTCAATGTACCGTAGTGAGAAAGGTGAGCTTCCGGCCTATATCACCACAGATAAAGACCTAAAAGTGCGCATGCGCAGAAAAAGATAGCTAACGGGACGAGCACGTAGGATGGCCTTACGTAAACATATCACCAGAATGATTGACAGTTAGGAGGACAATCTATTTAGTTGATCCACCCGGAAATAAAGATCATCCTCTATACCTTTAATGTTTTTATGGCAAATAACCAATATTTACCTGTATTTTATATTTTTTTAACACAATAAAAACCTGAGCACAGTGCTGATGTTGCCTCTCTGCTTCAGTTAAACATCCACAATCCGATCCTCCATCAGTGTCACATGACCAACCCCTCCCCTTCCTGTAACACAAATAGCAACTGAATGGAAATAAACATTAAGTGTTCTTAAAACCCCACTTCTACTGGTCGGTCTGATACCGGTATGTTTAAAAACCAAAGCCAATATTATTGCTTATATATTTTGAGCATCCCTAATTATTATCAGTAATCCTTATATCATGTTTATCCTATAAACCCTGCAGCCCTAATATTCATGTCTGCCAACACTGCAAACAAGCACAGGCCTTGCACCTTATTTTGTATGTTTCTGCTTCAGTTTAAAAGACTAAAAGTCGTCACAGCTGAGTTTTCTAGGTTCTCGAGGGATGTGCTAACCAGACTAATGTTTTGCAGCTCATTTGTTGGTTGTGTCTAATAAACCTGGTGAAATTTTTCTCATCAGCTCATGAAAAAAGATAATGCAACAACATTAGGAACCGAGCTGTCAGGGGATCCAGAGCAGCAGGTTAGTAAGAATTCTTCATTCTTTACGTATAATGTTTTCTTAAATTAAGTGAAGTAAAGGTATTTTCTCTGATTTGTCATCTTTTAATGTTCTAATTTTTTCATAATAGCTAAACCTGGTGGCAAATTCCTGAGGGGGGGGCTGTGGCTGAGCTAATGTGACCAAAATTTTAACTCTGTTCAGTCGATAGGTCAGTCGTATCTTACAATGGTTTATCCTGTTTCTCACCTGCACTGCAAAGACGATCTAGAAATTAGCAAAAATGTCTTATATAACATGTATTTACCATTAAATTGAGTTAATAAATAAGATGATCTGCCAGTAGAATGAGTATTTTTACTCTTAGAATAAGATAATTAGATATTATGCACTTGAATTAGGACAATGCATTTGTTTTTTCTTATTTAAAATGGAAATTGTCTTGTTCCATTGGCGAAATGTCTCACTTACCTCCTCTATTCATGAACAAATGAACTTCTTTTAGCCTTGTTTTAGTGTTTTAGATTTATTTAGATTTCGTTTTTTTCCAATGTAGACCTCAGCTGAACCTTTACTTTGACTGTTTGTCTTGTTTATTATCTTTACCTTTGAATATTGGCTCAGAGCTCATCTGTGTAGCTGTGTTTTTATTGGAGCTTATAGTGCTAGTACCGTTTTTTTCCCTCAGCATATAAAGGCTCCATGATAAGTGACTGCCATTGTGGGTATATTAAACCTGCAAACAATCAGCTGTTAGTGACGGTGGGAACGGTTCGCTTGACCCACATGGATCCCTGGCTAAGGACCTATACAAATATTAGGATGCAAAACATAAACTTACAATACAAACAACAAAACAAAACGTAGCTAGCTGCTTTCACTGGGGAACACTAAGCGTTGATTTCTTTGTGACAAACATCTGGACAGTTCAAGTCATTCATTGGCTTTTGTAGGGCCTCCCGTGAGGTAAAAAAAAAAAAAGTGCAAATGCCATTAAACAAAACAAAATATAAAACCACAAACAATGTTGATCAAAACAAACATCCATGAATGATAAACGTTCTTAATTTAGAAAATTCACTTTTAATAATTTACTTTAAATGGTCTACAGATCATTTAGGCAATTTATTTTGAATAGCTGACTATCCATTACATACGTTCTACCATGGAGCCCAACATACGTACGTCACAACATTACACTAGTGAGAGATTTGGATGGACAACAGAGTGAAACAAGGAGGCACATCGTCTACGGCCTCCTTCCATGTTTACTTTCCTGCTTTCTGTCACACTTATGACATCATGAAGGTTAACCCAGCGTGATGCCGTCACCAGACACACAGCGGTGTGGGAACAGAGGCCATGCAGCTTCCAGCAGGGGGTCAGACCCACATATCTTACCAAATGGGAAAGGATCCATATGCTGGTTATTAGCGGGTCGACCTGCATTTCAAAACCTGCATTGATCTGTCAATTTCAGTGGGAAAGCACCTTATGCTAACCCTGAGCCTGGCTCTGCTGAACCTTTCTTCAGAAGAACCAGCAAAGAAACAGTTTTTCTCTCCTGTTTTGCTTCATACATGGTCGGTACGATGGATTGCTGCAAAGTCAGCAAAATAAAGGAAGCAAACGTTGCCACAATCCTATCCAGCAGTAGTGGAGGCTGCAAATCAACGACTCGAAGCAATTTCAGGGTTTTCCTTAAGAAACATTTTAAGCAGGTTTGACTAATTACAACCAGCTGGAATGTATGTTTTTGACTTGGAATCTGAATAGTAATTCTTGTTTTGTAAAGGACCTTGAAAAAAAGGTCCTAAAACTTTTCTTTATAAAGAAATTGAAGTAAATTGAATGTGTTAAATCAGGAAGTTATGTCCCCCTGAAGGCGGCTGCGCCTCGGAACTTCCCTACCGGTTCTTTTCCTGGGAGCAAGTTATTTACTACTCTTAACTCAAACTGGGTAAAATCATATAAAAAAGGACTATAAAAACAGGAGTAAAAAAGTAACAGCGTTTATTCCAGATCAGGTCGTTACAGGACAGAGAAAATGCTTGGAGTCGGCACAGCTGTGGGCTCAAAAAACGTCAGCGAGCGTCAGGCAAAGATTGAGCCCCGAACAAGGTCGTCTCCTTCTTCTTATACCTCATGAGTCTATGTGTTGGATCAGGTGGATGCTTAGCTATCTGTATCAGAAACTGACATGCCATCAATGCCCTGATCTGTATACATCTTGCCTCCATGCCCAAGAATTACAGATACGTCTCCTCTATCAGTCCGGCTCCAAGATGCGCCCATATCCTCTGTGTTTCTAAAGACACGAAGGCTGTCCTGATTAGATGACTTCCATACACAGTGACATCCACAATGTGAAGGAAGGCCTTCTACTCTGTCTAATCTGGCTAACAGAATAACAATGCACATGATGTATAAAGAATAAACCTAACAACTGTGTACTTTTGCAGACAGTTGCTGTGTTTAGACCAGTTTGCATCCATTTCAACTGGATTCTGTAAACCTTCATACAGAGAAGTCAAAAGTATTAATATTTATTTCTCAAGTAGAAGATGAAAACCTTCTGTTTAAAACACTTTTGTAGAAGTTAGAAGATCAACTTAAGCTTTTCACTTCAGTAAAAGTACAATTTTAAAAACTACTTAAAGTATAAAAGTGATGCAGGAAATAAATGTTACGACGACAGAAGCTTTACTGCACTACACTATTAAAGGAACATTTTTCTACAAATCTGGATGATAACTTCCTCACACATAATTTTCCTAGATGTATAACTGCATAACTAATGGTATCAAATTTAACTTTAAATCATCTAGAAAAACTATTTATTTTGATATGTGGGAAACAACAAGTTGGTGCAGCACAGAGTCCAACCACAAAGTAATTAATGCAAAATAATTAGTTTTAATTAGGAATGCACGATATTGGGATTTTGGCCGATATCCGATATGCCGATATTTTAAAACTCATGTAGCCGATAACCGATACCGATAGTGATGTTAAAGCTGGACAAAAATAAGTAGTCATTGAAAATAGCAGTTTTGTTATCCATTTCTGACACTTTGAAAAATAATATACTCAAATATATTTTCATATGCTGATATCAAATATTTTTAAAAACGCGGTATCGATTTATTTTACTTTCAAAATCTCGTGAAATGTCATCGTTCTGTTACAAACTCTCGGGATATTTTGCAAATTCTTGTGAGATTTTGTTAGTAAAATAGATCGATACCGCGTCAATATATCAACATATAAAAATATGGCAAAATTTCGTAGATTTTCGGGGGATTTCGTAGCATAACGATGACATATAGCAATATTTCATTAGTAAAAGAGATTGATATGGTGTTTTTAATAAATTTTTATATTGTGATATTTTAATGTATCAATATTTTTTCCCTCGTCTTTAGAAGTTTTTAAGTCTGTAAAAAAGAAGTTTTTGAGGAAGAAGAAGAAGTAGTATTTTTTTTTTAGACTTTGTCCGATATTCAGTGTTAAGGCTGATACCGATAGGGGGCCGATTATATTGTGCATCCCTAGTTTAAATAATAATTATTATTTAAACTAATTATTTTATGTTTTTTTATTTTTAGATGCCAACAGGTCATAAAAAAAATGAGCTCAAATGAAACAAATGAGTATATTTTTGAAATGTAAGGAGTAGGAACTAGAGATAATTGCAAAAATAATGTAAGGAGTAGAAGTAAAAAGTTGTTAAAAAAATAATTACTCCAATAAAGTATAGATAGACAAAATGTCTACTTAAGTAAGGAAACAAGTTTTTCTACTTTATGACTTGACACCTCTGGGTTCATACGATTTGAACCTCTTCTTCTTGTGAAATTGATATATTTGTTGTGAACGAGTGCTAAAAGAAATAATTGAAATTCTTTTCTTTGCTAAATCCTAATGTTTAGGTTTTTACGCTTTAATTTTGTTTTTTTTCATCTATTCAGGTGAAGAAGCTCCTGGAGGATCTTTCTGAACTCATGTCAGAAAAGGAAGCCTTGGCTCAACGCTGTCAAGAGCTGGATTTACAGGTGAATATGGAGCTCATGCACAACATGCACATGTTTATATCTCTACTGTATGGAGATAAGGTTTTTCATAAAGTGTTTAGTTTTTAGTTTTTGTCAGAATGTCTCATTAGTTAGCAGATTGTAGCTCTCGGTGTATTCAGACATGGAAGCCTTTGGCACAGCGTAACCCAAAGTTTTGAAATTCTCTGAAATGCTTGGCTCCATTGTCTGGAGCCGCTGTGGCAGAACGGCTGTGGAGCCACAGTCTGGGCTCTGCTGGCTTCACATGGCATCCAGCCCGTATCTGCCACTGTTAGAAGTGCTGAATTTAGCATCGGGACTGATCAAATGTCTACCTGGACTCTCAGCAGATTGATTTGATCATTTTGCTGCCTTGCTCGGGTCTATGGGCAGAGAGGTAAGTTAAACACAGCTTATCGCCGGGGGTGAAGGAGGAACTAAACCCAGCTAAACCCATCAGAACCAGCTGCTCAAATGTTTGCTCTAACTCTGCTAACACAGGGTTCAAACAGGGTAATGATAAGTTATCTACTGCAAGTTTAGTCATTTTGGCAATATTCTAAACATTCATCCTTGAATGTGTGCTATGATATCCATTTGGCCTTCTTGATTAAGGAAAAGTCTGACCAAAAAACCTTTAAACAACTAAATAAATATCTAACTGGTTTCTGGAATAGAACCTAGGCCTTAATGTTACTTCAAACTCAGCTAACGGTTTTGTTCAGTGTTTGTACAGTGCTGTAAAGTAAGCATCCCCTCCCCTTAAATATCTGTTTTTTTGTTGTTCTATATCATAATTTTTAAGCTTTTCAAAGTCAACTAAACACATTTATATTACAAAATACTGACTTTGGCATTACAGAGTATTCATCCATCCGTCCGTCCGTCCATCCATCCATTTTTTAACACGCTTATCCCAAGTGGGGTCGAAATGTAAGGAGGCAAGGGGTGCTGGTTCCTATCTCCAGCTGTCTACGGGCGAGAGGCCATTACAGGGCAAAGTATTCATTTGTTATGAAATATTTACTGTTTCCTTCCAACTCTGAATAAAGGGAAGGCACATTTATTTGTATAGCAAACTTCAGTAGAAAGACAATTCAAAGTGCTTTGCATGAATTGAAAAGGAAAATAGAACGGAAAATAAAACCAAGAAAAGATAAAAGCAGGTAGTAAAGCAAATAAAACAATTTGACCACAACCTAAATAATGTTTGGGTAAAATCAACAATATATTTCATGAAGGTATAACATTAAAACATAGTTAGAAGATCAAGGAAAATTAATTTGCAGAATATCCAAAAATATTTTAATAACCCCAAAGGGAAATCAAAAGTTGCAGTACCTCATATGGTTTTTGTGGAGGTGTTGATAGTTGGAGTTAGGAAGGATCTTCTGTAGCTTTCTGGAGAAACCTCTGACCATTGTCCACAATCTTCTTCACTTTATGAAGAAATCTTCTCTGTGAAATCATCTCCAGAGGCTGTAGAGGAGTTCCTAGAACAGAGCTGGCCTTCTTGAGTAGCTTGCTGAGCTTTTTTAAGCTCTAATGCTGTAAAACCAGCAGATGATGGTGGAAGAGATCAGACTCTCCACAAGAGACCTATTGAGGATATGTAACTTCTTGCTGCAAAGTTGTGACCCCAGTCCAGCCCTTTAAATAATACAAATGATTAAAAAATAAGGATATTTATTTATTGAGGTGGAAAAATATGTATTGACTAACCTGGCTTTAAATAAAAAGATGGAACGAGATCTTAAGTGTGACTCTCAGAGCAGCACCTGGTTCTGTAAATTGAGTTTTAGATGATGTCACCAAGTCCATTGAAGTGACCAGTTGCTGAATGAAGCTGTTAATTGATGGCTGTGATGCTTCAGTGTTATTTCCGGAATTGCATAACCTAAGTATTGCGATAAAATGTTTTAGACCTTTATTTGAAAAAAAAATCTTATTATTACTAAAAGGTTTTTATTCTCTTATAAGGTTTTTTCAGACCTGTTAATGTACATCACTAAAAGTACTGAAATCACTTTTTTGGCATTTACACAGCAGGGAAAGGACATGCTTATCTTATTTCTTTTTTCATTGTGAGGCATTTATGAGCATTAACTGTGAAATCAGAGAAGTTTTACCAGTTACATGCAGGACTACCATAATTTTCAGACTATTAGCCGCACCTGAATATAAGCCGGAGAAGCTAAATTGCATGATTTGTACATATACAGGTGCTGGTCATAAAATTAGAATATCATGAAAAAGTTGATTGATTTCAGTAATTCCATTTAAAAAGTGAAACTTGTATATTATATTCATACATTACATACAAACTCATATATTTCAGATGTTTATTTTGTTTAATTTTGATGATTACAAATGACAACAAATGAAAATCTCAAATTCATCATATCAGAAAATTAGAATATTGTGAAAAGGTTCAAAATTGATGGCCCCTGGTGCCACACTCTAATCAGCTAATTAACTCAAACCACCTGCAAAAGCCTTTAAATGGTCTTTCAGTCTAGTTCTATAGGCTACACAATCATGGGGAAGACTGCTGACTTGACAGTTGTCCAAAAGACGACCATCGACACCTTGCACAAGGAGGGCAAGACACAAAAGGTCATCGCTAAAGAGGCTGGCTGTTCACAGAGCTCAGTGTCCAAGCACATTAATAGAGAGGCGAAGGGAAGGAAAAGATGTGGTCGAAAAAAGTGTACAAGCAAGAGAGATAACCGTACCCTGGAGAGGATTGTGAAACAAAACCCATTCAAAAATGTGGGGGAGATTCACAAAGAGTGGACTGCAGCTGGAGTGAGTGCTTCAAGAACCACCACACACAGACGTATGACAGACATGGGTTTCTGCTGTCGCATTCCTTGTGTCAAGCCACTCTTGAACCACAGACAGCGTCAGAAGCGTCTTGCCTGGGCTAAAGAGAAACAGGACTGGACTGCTGGTGAGTGGTCCAAAGTCATGTTCTCTGATGAAAGTAAATTTTGCATTTCCTGTGGAAATCAAGGTCCCAGAGTCTGGAGGAAAAGAAGAGAGGCACTTCATCCACGTTGCTTGAAGTCCAGTGTAAAGTTTCCACAGTCAGTGATGGTTTGGGGTGCCATGTCATCTGCTGGTGTTGGTCCATTGTGTTTTCTGAGGTCCAGGGTCAACGCAGCCACATACCAGGAAGTTTTAGAGCACTTCATGCTTCCTGCAGCTGACCAACTTTTTGGAGATGCAGATTTCATTTTCCAACAGGACTTGGCACCTGCACACAGTGCCAAAGCTACCAGTACCTGGTTGAAGGACCATGGTATCCCTGTTCTTAATTGGCCAGCAAACTCTCCTGACCTTAACCCCATAGAAAATCTATGGGGTATTGTGAAGAAGAAGATGCAATACACCAGACCCAACAATTCAGAAGAGCTAAAAGCCACTATTAGAGCAACCTGGGCTATCATAACACCTGAGCAGTGCCACAGACTGATCGACTCCATGCCACGCCGCATTGCTGCAGTAATACAGGCCAAAGGAGGCCCAACTAAATACTGAGTGCTGTACATGCTCATACTTTTCATGTTCATACTTTTCAGTTGGCCAACATTTCTATAAATCCTTTGTTTTTATTGGTCTTCAGTAATATTCTAATTTTCTGATATGATGAATTTGAGATTTTCATTTGTTGTCATTTGTAATCATCAAAATTAAACAAAATAAACATCTGAAATATATGAGTTTGTATGTAATGTATGAATATAATATACAAGTTTCACTTTTTAAATGGAATTACTGAAATCAATCTACTTTTTCATGATATTCTAATTTTATGACCAGCACCTGTACAAGCCGCACCGGACTATAAGCCGCAGGTTTTTTTATGATTAACACAAACTGTCTTGCGCTCACAATGTCCATCTTTCTCGCTGTCGCTCTGTCTCGTACCACTCGCGGTAGAAGTCTGCTTCCGGAGGACCTCCGCATTCCCGCGCGCGCGGCTACCATACTTGTGTGTTGAAGCAAATGTGACGTCAACATGGTGGATGGTAAAATCTATAGATTTAGGTATTACGCTAGTGGCCGTTAGCTGTAAAAGTCCATAGATAAGCCGCATTGTTATATAAGCTGCAAGGTCGAAAAATGGGGAAAAAGTTGCGGCTTTTAGTCCGAAAATTACATTAGTTAAAAAAAAGGAAATGGGCTCAGAGGAATTAATTTAGACAACATGCAGATACTGGTATCGGTATCGGTGCAACACTGATTACATGGCTTTTAATTTCAGCCTGTGTAGCATGTGGTTACTGCTGAGATTACGTCTGCTATTAAGTCCATAACACAGATTTTATCCGCACTATCCAAAGAACACCGTTTGATCAGCCTGATCTGTTATGAAAAGGCTAAATGTCTTCAGCTTTATGCACTTCTCCCTCACCTCAATGCCACCCTCTAGTGGCAACTCCTACCTTTTATTCTTAAATTTGAGAGTTGGAGTAAATTCCCCAAATTCTCAGCACTTAGGAGTAAAGAGAGCACTCTAGGAAGTTTGATAAATCCATGTCCAGGACATTTAAAGCACTGTGGATAACTTGACTGCATACTGAGGGGGTAATTCAGCCATTTCATTCAGGTGTATAAGCAGAGACACATTTAAAAGTTGCAGGGCACTGGACCTGGAAGGTGGAAATTGAGGAACCTTGATCTAAAATATGTGGGCACAGTGAGAAGCAAAAAAAAAAAAGAAATGTGCAAGACAAAAAAGAATACTGTTTTACAGCACTGTATAAGCAAGGCTTAAATTTTACTCGATTTGTCTTTTTTTATCCTTAAAGGGAAACGCTGTTTTTTTACATTGGTCCCTTGATTTTACGTTATTCCATCATGTTCTACTCACCCGTATGAGTTTAGTGTCATTTGGAGCCGTTCTGAAGATATTCCGTTAGGTTATATCCAAGTAACGTCTTCCTATGGGCAACGACTGGAAGGCAGAAACTAAACTGTTAATAGTTTATTCTTTCTGGTACACCAGCATTCATAGCATGTAGGCGAATCACTGTCCCCCAGACATCCACGTTTCTATTTTTTATATATTTTTTTTTTTTTTAAACAAAGTGGCGTGTGTGTGACGTCATCCACGCGCAGGACTGGAGTTGTGACAGGCAGCCTGGGCCACAGGCGGCTACGCTCTACCCCTTCTATTCATTCTAGCTAATCTGAATCGTTCAATTCCATTTGGAGATCGAGATCATCTGTGGTAGCAGCACTAGACATCTTCCAGGCATGTGAGGAAAACTAGCAGCAGTTGAGCGGACAGGAAGAATGAAAGGTAGCCGGCGCGCGGATGACGTCATACACGCGGCACTTTTTTTATTTATTTATTTATATTAATATAAAATATATAACCGCGGATGTCTGGGGGACAGTGATTCCCCTACATGTTCTGAATGCTGGCGTACCATAAAGAATAAACTATGAACAGTTTAGTTTGTGCCTTCAAGTCGTTGCCCGTAGGAAGACGTTACTTGGATATAACCTAACGGAATATCTTCAGAACGGCTCCAAATGACACAAAACTCATATGAGTGAGTAGAACATGATGTAATAACGTGAAATCAAGGGCCCAATGTAAAAAAAAAATGGCGTTCCCCTTTAAATTGGTAAATGAACCTTTATTTGATTAAGAGGGAAACTAATATCCATGTTTTAACATTTCTTAAGCTGAGAACCACATTTCCAGCAAGAACCAAGAACTTTGTTTACTTCAACATGGAACAAAAAATGTTTTTTTTTCTCTGTGTTGCCTCTTTTAATTCTGAAAGTAACTTTCCTGCTCTGCATGCTGTTATTGACCAGCAGGAGATTTAACCCTGCAGCTCCTTTCTGCTCACTTTAATTAACCTTAACCCCGGCTTGAAACTCCTGAAGAGAACAGCCTTAACATCTTTATTCCTGGACAGGTGGCCGTTCTTCTAGAGGAAAGAAACAGCCTCTTGGCTGAGAACGATGTCCTAACGGACCGCACCAGCCAGCTAGACACTTTTGATGACCCGAGCACACCATCGGGAAGGAAACACAGCCAGCTGCAGCAGCAACTGGAGAGTCTGCAGGAGGAGAACTTCAGGTTGATTACTGCAGCTTCAGATGAACCTCTGCTCTTTACTTTCAGTGAAAATCAAATGCTCACATATGTGCTCATCTAGACTGGAGGCTGCCAAGGATGACTACCGGATCCACTGTGAGGAGCTGGAGAAGCAGCTGATTGAGCTTCAGCATCGTAATGATGAGCTTACCAGCCTGGCAGAGGAATCACGGGCTCTGAAAGATGAACTGGATGTTTTAAGGTTTGTATTTGGCAAACTCCTCCTTTTTAATAAATTCTTATAAAGTTCATTTTATTTACCTCATGGATTCTTAAGACTCTTATTTTCCAAGACTTTTTTCATTCTTAAAAGTTGGTTTAGCTGCATAAACTCAACAAACAGAATGTAATTTTGCTTCTAGTGAATGTTCTTGTCAAGGAATACTGCTTGGAATTTTTAATTAGAACCACAAAATGTAAGAGTTTTACTATGATTTTATTCTATATGCACCAAATTTTCAAGATGAAAATATTTTATTTTTAACTGAAATTAATGTTATATTTTGCATCAGGAGGCAATTTCCTGCTTGAAAAGCAAAGAAAATAGGTGGTTTGAGAGGGGCATGAAGGAAGCTTGTTAAGGAAGTTTATTTCTATAGCGCCAATTCACAACACATCATCTCAAGGCACTTTACAGTTCAACAGATCATCCAGTCAAATTGATTCAAAGTTTTCTATCTAAGGAAAACCAGTTGATTGCATCGACTCATTGACTCCAAGGCAATCTCTCACACTAAGCATGATTGTAGCGACGGTGGAGAGGAAAAACTCCCTTTTAACAGGAGTGTGAGCGGCCATCTGCTGAGGCAGACTGGGGTTCAAGGAGACAGAAGCAGAGATACAAAAAGCAGCTGTAAAAGGTGGCGCCGTCCAGGAAACACACAGCCAGGCAGACGAGCTCCGAGCCAGCTCCCATGTCAGAGGACGAAGAGAGCACATTCTGACAGTCATAGTCATAAAAACAGGACCACACTGAAAAACAGGCAGGATCTCCAACATCTAGAAACAAAGGTGTTGATGGCAGCAGCACAGCTGATATTTCTCTCCAGGATGGAGTCACAGCCAAATAGGAACAGACCAGATGAAGCTACTATGAGAAAAAGCAGAGAGAGCAGAACGTTAGAGATTAAACTAACAAATACTGCAGAATAGAAGAATAGAGATAGAATGATGAAAAAGGGGTGCATTTAAAACTTTTATAGGGGTACATCAGTACATGTTTGTATAATTTTCAGATTAATATGAAAGAACCTGTATTTTTAAGAAACCACCTGATGTTTTGATGCATAGAACCACCTGCTACAGATTCTACCACCTGCATAGAACTTCAGCACAAAAAGGCTACAAAAAATAAGGACAGCTATTGTGATTATTATTTCTTATTTAAAAACAAACCAAAAAGGAAACAGAGTCGTGATTCTCCTCACATTTTCACTCTGGAATAGAGTTTTAATGTTGACTCTATTACCACAAAGAAATTATAACTCTGATCAGAGAACTCATCCCTCTAAACACCTCGGTCACATGTCAAAAACAAACACCTTAGTAAATGTATGAGCCAGAAATATCTGCCCACAGTTTGGGACCTTTGTAGTAACGTCATGCAAATCTCTAAATTATACCCCATTTACACTACCCTTGAAAAACCGATCCATGCCAAGACCGGTCCGAGCTCGGATCAGTTAACCAGGCCGAGCTCGGTTCAGACGACCGTTTACATATGGCGCTAGCTTGGTTCCTCGACTCCTCGCCTCCTAGTGACGATCTGCGGTATCACTGCCAGTATTGAAGGAGGAAATCAAGCAGTTGGTGGCACCAAAAGCTGTTTGCCAACCGCCATGAAACACAAGAAGAAGAAGATGAAGAAAGAGGGAATCAAGCAAATCAAAATGGCAGCGCCCGTCACATTCAGAAAGTTATGCTTGATTATTATTGATGTACTTTGGTGTTTGCAAAGGGTCAGGCGAAGACGGCAACCTTTCGTGGATTTACTTGACAAAGTCTGCTTTCGATTGTTTGTTTATAGTTGTTCTTCTGTTTTGTGTTGGTTGGCAAGCAACTTCTGGAGGGGCATTACCGCCAACTACTGGAATGGAGTAGGGGTGTAAATAATAATCGTTTTGTATCGATGCATCGATCCAAAAGTCGACGATCCGATGCATCGACACGTCCGCAAGATAATCGATTCATGTTTTTTTTCCTCCGGTCTATTTTTATCCATTTGCTCCTGGGCATAATTCTCCCATGCTGCGGTGCCACTAAACCTATTTTGCCCTCCTACCGCGCTTCCTGGTTATACTCTTACAGCAGTGTGTTGCAGTGAGCTTCACACAGACATTTTTAAATTATGCTCAATATTGAAGCGTGGTCTGAGCTACACGCTGTGGGTCTAGAAACGGCCGAGGTGGCAAGGAAGTGGGGACAAGTTTAGTCCGACGACGGAGGGACATGAGGGCCAAAAAGAGCGGAGATCCAGGTGGAAAAAGGGTCCCAGCGTTCTCGGGCACCTCGCTCTTCTAGCGGGTCAAACTTCACGAGTTGTTTTACGCAATTTCGGTCATAAAAACAAATCAAGCCGGCCTCCTGTCTGCTGCACTGTTTGCGGTCAGCTACAATCTGGGAGAGGTGCAGCGGAGCGTCTCTCAAGGGGCGGTGACGTCGTCACTTCTTCTTCTTTTTTTTTTAATGGCGGTTGGCAAACAACTTATAGGTGCATTACCGCCACCTTCCAGAATGGAGTATAGACCAGACAAACTATTATATTCTCCCTAAAATACCCGTTCTTCTTAGAAAATTAAAAATACAACCAAAAACTACATCCCCAGATGACCTTTGAAACAATTCCCTTATATCTAGTTTATTTTTATTCCTGTCTAACTCTCTACGCAACATCCCTCTTTCCTGAGTATATTTATTACATTCTAAAAAAATATGTTGGACAGTTTCTCTGGAGCCGAGGTATTGCATTGAACTCATTACACTGATATTGTGCAGTATTTTTGCAGTATTTTTTGATGCAACTTTTCTACTTCTGTTATTTGCTGTTGTTTCTAAAGAAAATGCATAATGATATTACAGCTTTCATTGATTTATTTCAAACTTGAAACTTTGTTTAGCCTGTAAAATTAACCAATTAATCGAATTGAATCGAATCGTGGTGTATTCTTGAGTATCGAAAATAATCGAATCGTTGGGTCAGGAAATCGATACTGAATCGAATCGCCATGATGGATGTGATTTACACTCCTAGAATGGAGTGTGAATCGGGATGTGCAGCCAGACGGAGATGACGCGTTCTGCTCATGCGCTCTTGTTATCAGAGAACCGAGCCAGGGAAAAACCGAGCCGAGCCCACCTCTGGAACTGGTCTGCAGTTAGCTCGGTCCGGTTGTGTCTAGCTCGGTTCAGTTCAGTTTGCTTTCCATTTACACACAATAAGTTATCTAAGTTACTGAGCTTGGACCGGTCTCAGTACGGTTTTTCAAGGGTAGTGTAAATGGGGTATTAGTGGCATCCAAGTTCAGTCCTAAGGGCTGCTATCTGACATGATGAAGTTGTATTTCAAGAAAGAAAAACATCAAAAGTAGATTACAAAACTAAGCTGAGCCAAAAGGAACAAGGAACTAGCAACTTCCTGGAAATGGAATGGAGTAGAAAAAGTCATATGTACTCACCATAAAAATTACTCAAGTACAGTAAAGATCCTTAAAACAAGTACTTAAGGGCAGTAATCAAGAAAACTTACCTTGTTACTTTCCCACCACTGGTTGGGATGTATCCAAAAAGGTTTGATGTACGTCTCCATCCCCATGCCTGCAGCGTTCCCTGCATTGATTGTTGCAAACGCCTAACAGCATCACACATTGTTACTCCTCTTATTGAACCCAGTGGCTTCCATCTGCTGCAGCCTATGCCTAAGTCAGGTTTGTGCATCCCTCAGCTGGTAGATGTCCTCTCAACAGATTCTCCCATGTGAGCTTTCTCTATAAGTCAGTTTAGTTGAAAAAAACCTTGACCTGGCAGGTTAATGGTTCCCATTTTCAGATGACCGATTGAACAGCGCTCTCTTAGATGTTCAAAGCTTGGGTTTTATTAATATCACTGCAAATTTCTCCCTGATCGTCTACTTTGTTCCCTGGTCTTTAAAAAAGCTGTTATGCTCCAACAAACAGGACATACACCAACATATGAGAAATCTATTTGCTTGTAAAGTAACGTCGAATGATCTTAAATTCATCTTGAATTCACCTGCATTACGTCCTCGTCTATCTTGACTTGGCAACGTGGACAACATTCTCCGAAAGGGGAGTAGGAGTCAAAGGCGTGCAATCTGTTTAGTTTTGTTCATAGTTTATTATTTATTGTTCCTATAAGAGCTTATTGACAGGGAAATGTGTTTATTTTATTCAGGAACTGCTCAGACAGAGTGGTGATGCTGGAAGCATCGGTGGAAACATACAAGCGGAAGCTGGAGAATCTTGGCGATCTGAAGAGGCAGATGAAGCTTTTGGAGGAGAATAACATGACCTACATGCAGAACAGCGTCACTCTGGAGGAGGAGCTACGCAAAGCAAATGCTGCCCGCGCACAGCTGGAGTCATACAAAAGACAAGTAAGGAGCAAACGCCTACTTCTAGGTTTAAAGCAGGACTTTTAAAGTTGAATTAATTATATACATAATTTCATTTGCATTAGAAGATATATTTAGCCTAAAGCTGTTTTGGTTTTTGTTTGTTTTTAAGGTTCAGGACCTCCACAGTAAGCTGTCTGAGGAAACCAGGCGAGCAGACAACATGGCGTTTGAGATGAAAAAGCTGGAAGAAAAGCATGAAACTGTGTTAAAAGAAAAGGAGGTTCAACAGCTTATAAAACTTTAACCATCAATATAAATAACATATTTGCTTTGTTTAAAAAGCTTTTTCTTAATGTTAATCTTTACCCCATTAGCGGATCATTATTGAGCGAGATTCGCTGAAGGAAATCAACGAGGAGCTGCGATGTGCTCAGGTTCAACAGCACCAGCTCTCACAGCCAGGTACCCCCTTTCTGAACACTTACAGTGATGTGAAAAAGTCGTCGTCCTCATCAGCATTGTTTCACAAAGCAGGTTTAAACCTGAAATCATGCACTGCAAAAACGATCTAAAAATGAGTAAAACATGTCTTAAAATGAGTAAAAAATGTCTTAAAATGAGTAAAAAATGTCTTAAATTAAGTGTATTTACCCTTAATTTGGGCAGGTAAATGAGATGGTTTGCCAACGGAATGAGCAATTTTACTCTTAAAATAAGATAATTGGATAATATGCACTTGAAATAAGACAATGCAATTGTGTTTTCTAATTTTAAGTGTAAATTGTCTTTTTCCATTGGCAAAATGTCTCCTTTACCTCCTCAATCCAAGAACAAATGCACTTATTTTAAGAAAAAAAGACTTATCTAGATTTGGATTTTTTCCAGTGTAGAAATTTAGTTTTCTCTTCCACAGAGTGAGTTTACTCAACCTCTGTTTCTGTTACCATAGTAACATTCTCCTAGAGCTAACCTGGTCAAAAGCAGGATTTCTTAACAAAGTCACTGTCGTCTCTCTCCACCCTCCTTAGAGCCGAACACATTGTTCTAATTCCTGATTTAGTCAGGAGAGTTTTCTTGTAGTTTTGTGCAAACCATACAATGAAATTAGTCATGTAGGTTCATTAGACACACTAGGTGTTAAAAACAAAAACGTTGGATGTCCTTTTGACAAGAATCACAAAAAGAATGAGCAACATTAATTCACAGGGATTTAGATATTTATAGGCAGAGGATTCTCAGATATAAATATCCTATATTCAGAGTGATCTTTATGAGCGCCACCGTTTCACCTCACAATCAATGTATCCATTCATCCCTCCTCACATCTGCAGCATTAAACAGGCTTCTTTAGCAAGTATTTAACAGAGCTGGGTTATGATTGAGAGCACATTGACGTGTGATAATATCATTGTATTATAGAAAACCACTGCATGGTGAAACGGCACCAGTCCCATAAAATGTGCTGATGAAGATTCTCAGTCATCCAGGTCATAGTCATTCCATAAAAGTAAAAAAAAAATCCACTGGACTTGGTTTCCATGATTTGAAGACGTTTCGCCAGGTCTACCGACCTTAGGAATCATAGACAGGTTTCAGGTATTACAGGCTAACAGTGGAACCAAACGACCCACTCATCGGTTTCCATTTGCATGTTTCCAAGCGATATAAGGCTTTGTCTATATAAGACTTAAACTCACTGCAGATCCAGACATTTGAATTGACAAAGCTTCCTGGAGGGGAAGCGAAACGTCTTCAAACCGTGGAAACCAAGTCCAGTGGATTTTTTTGAACTTTTATGGAATCCCATAGAATGGCTCCAGGCTTTTCCTGCTCTACCTTCTTGAAGGTTTCTTATGGCTGACGATATGCAGCTTATCATTAATAACAGCTGCTTTGGACACCTCTAAAATAAAAGCTACAGATGTAACTACGGTGCATTGAATCCTGAATGACCACCAGAGATTCTTTGTCACTTAGAATTCTTGCTCTGTGGGAAGAATCTGTAGGAATTGATCCCTGGATGAGACCAGCATCTATACCCTCTGAGGGGTCATCCAGGGTGTCACAGGTAGAATTACTTGAACTGCTCATGCCCTAAAGGAACATTCAGTGCTTTTAGCACTGCCCCCAGGTGGTCAGTAGCAATGAAATAGAAAAGTATGTTTTATATACTATTTACCTTCTTGATAGTTTTTATCTACTTTATTTACAATGTACCTTTAAAAATACAAAAACTGCGTTTCAAAGCTTTAGTTTGAATGAACTCTGTGTGTTTCAGTCACACAAACTTAATGTGCTGATTAAAAACAACTCATTTGGCAGAATATGAGATCTGTGTTTTCGGATTGTTTATTATAAGTGGATCAATATGACTTAGACAGATTTATTTGTCATTTTGTTTACACACTTGTAAAACAAAAAGAACAGCTTTCTGGACAATTTCTTTTTTTTTCTTTTTTTTTTTTTTTTTTTTTTTCAAAGTTTTCAATACAACATTAATAACACAGAACAGTTCGACATAGAGAGCAGTTGGCAAAAATACAGCTTGTTGAAAGTAGCGATGGATCATGGACCATCTTGAAGCACAGCACATTTTAACCTGTAGGAGTCCCATTTTGACCAAAGTTTGAGAAAAATGTCCAGTTTCAAGTGAATTTTAAAAGTAATTTGTTCCATGTTTCTTATTTCAGTCATAATTTCAATCCAGTTTGAAATCGTGGGGGCTGACTGAGTTATCCATTTCTTAGTTATGGCTTTTTTTCCAGCAGCAAGCATTATATTCCAAAGGTATTTGTTTACTGTGTCCATTGCCGGTGTTTTCAGTCCAAGGTACATGGTCATGAAGTTTAAAGGGATGGTGACATTATAAACAGTTTGCATTACATTGTTCATGTCTTTCCAATATTTCTGGATAACTGGGCATTCCCAAAACAAATGATAATGATGCGCCTTTAGGCACCCACATCCTCTCCAGCATCCAGTGTTCCCTTGTGAATAATGAGCGCTTTGACATGGTGTTATAAAGAAACGTGCAATAGTTTTCCAGCTAAATTCTTTCCAGATATGTGACTTTGTTGTCTTCCATTGAGATAAACATACACTTTCCCATTCATCCTCAGTTAAAGTAAATCTACCTTCATTTTCCCACTTATTTTTAATATAGGTAGTGGAATGGTTGTCTGGGTTATTAATACAAATGTATAATTTTGATATTAACCCTCTAGGAAGATTTGATTTATATGCTTTAATGAAGAGATCTATCAATGGGTTGTCATCATTCTGTTTGATTTCTACATTGTAGTAATTTCTTATCTGTAAGTACCTATAGAAATCTTGATTCTCCAAGCCAAATGTTTCTTTTATCATTTCAAAACTTTCCATGTGATTTTGTTTTACAATTTGGTAGAACATTTTCAGGTCTTTCTGAATCCATAATTTAAATCTTGCATCTGTATTATTAGGCATGAAGTTTGTATCGTAAGCAAACCAATTTAAAATTTTTATGTTTCTCTTAAGTTTGTGTGTTTTAAGCATATCTTTCCAGGTGCTCAAAACAGAATTTACCCAGGGATTCTTCACCTGTTTGATTTGATCCAGTCGTTTTTCATCTGCTAATAAAGCTTGCATTGGGATATTTGGTAATAGGTTACATTCAATGTTTTTCCACTGGGCATCATATTTGGGATCACACCAGTACAACAAAGTTCTGATTTGAGCTGAAATAAAGTAATTTTTTAAACAGGGTAAGCCCCAGCCCCCCTTTCCTTTTGTTAATTGGAGAGTTTTGAGTCGAGTGCGGGGTTTTTTACCTTGCCATATAAATCTTGTCATGGTTTTGTCCCATTCCTCAAATAGTTTGTTAGGAATGGAGATTGGAAGAGTTTGGAACAAGTAAAGAAATCTGGGAAGGATGTTCATCTTTATAGTCTCGATCCTTTGGCTTAGAGTTAAATGGGGGATAGGATTCCATTTTTCTAGATCTTTCTTAATGGTGTTAAAAAGAGGGGTGTAGTTCTTTGCCAAGATTGTAGACAACTCCCTATGTAGCACCACCCCCAGGTATTTAAGAGATGTGGTTTGCCATTTAAATGGATATGTTTTTCTGAAAGTTAGGGGTGGTTGCCAATAGGAGAGAATTTCAGTTTTCTGTATGTTTAGTTTGTATCCGGACAGTGGACTAATTTTTTGGAGGAAAGCCATCACATTGGGTATTGAAGTTACTGGGTTGGACTCTTTTTTTTTTTTTTTAAATAGTTAAAAAAAAATATATAAAAACAGTAATATAAACATATGACTGTAAATTTACAGTTCTAACATCTCAGTTTTTTTTTTTTTTTTTTAGGACAATGCACATTCATCAACATGTCAGCATAAAGCATCAATGTAAATTTGCCAGAATTAGCACAACAGCTAATTTGCATCCGCTGTCCTAAGGCAGGTAAAAACAGTGAACATTAAACAAGACGCTACAGGAGAGAACAGAGTGGACACAAACAGATAAGATGCCAATAACATAAAATCACAATAAAATTAGGTTAACAATAAAATGAGGTTAACAGGCCCATGGAAACAGATCAATTTACCTGTGAACACATGTCTGGTTAGTTTCTAGGAGAATTTAAAACATATGAAGGTCCCACAGCCCCTAACAAGAGCTGGCAGTGTGTTCCATAACTGTGCTCCTCTGATGGATGCAACCATTTGGCAAAATTTGGTCCTACGCCGCTGAACATTACAGTCTCCTCTGGTTAAAGCTCTAGTGTTTATTCTAGTAATGTTTTTTTTTGCTTATAAAATCTGTTAGAGGAGGAGGAGCAAGTCCATTTAATACTTAAAAAACAAGGCATGCATCCAGAAACATCTGATGACGTTCAAAGTCTAAAATGTTTTTAATGAGCGGATCATATTTTTCTTTACAGTACAACTACTGAAATATTTTTTTTGATTACACATAAATAGATTAATTTATTCCGCGGGTAAAAACAGGAATAACTTCAGGGTTAGGATTAATTGAGGGAATCCAACCTATTGAGCCTACTGGTAGGTGTAGGCACTATCGGAAGGCCTTCTATGGGACTGATGATCGCTAATAACGACCATTTAGTGGGATGATAATATCCAAAGCGGCTGCAAACAGCCCCTTAGTATTTACTGTGTGATGGAAGATAGAATCAAACAGAGGAGGAACCCAATGATACGATGCACAGGTCTTACCTGTTCAAAACAACATTTTTAGACTTCACCTGCTGACAGCTGCGTTTCTCCCCAGTGAGATATAATGCATTCATACCCTACCATTCAAACAGTAAATGTATTTCAACCAGAAATTGTTTCCTTATTTCCTCCTAAACCATTTTTTTCCTTGTCCAAATGACCATTTCAAACAAAATAACATTTTTCACATCTAAAATTAACATTCTGGATGTCTAGAAATTAATTTCAAAACTTCATTTTCCTAATATTGCTGGTCATAATTTCTATAAATTTGATTATGAAGATATGTATTTAAGATGGCTGATAAATGTCAAAATTACCACTTAGAATATGTAAACATTTCTAAATATATAAAACTTACCTCTGACTGGTACAATTAATTTTTTTTACTTTCTGAAATTCACTTGCTGCTGGAAAAAATGTAATTTAGAAGATCTATTATTATATTTCGGACTAGGACTGAGATTTGGAGGAAGAATCTATTTTAGTGATCTAGAAATGATACAACAGATATGAGAGCATTTTTAATAAATGTTGAAACGGCCTTAATTCAAGCAGCAATCTTCTTCACCACCTCCCTCTCCTTCGCAGTAGTGCTGTTGCTCAGTCTTTTCATTTCTGCATTAAAGTAGAGACTTTAATGCAGAACTGCAGTGATGTGAAATAGGCACTTCCTGTTGCCTGTTGTCATGGTGACTCCTTTAATCTGGGCTCCACTAATTATACCTTTTTCATTCTTGTTATGCACATGCTCAACACTGAGTGTACTATCATATATTTCATTGCAGGGATCCTTCCCTCTGGCAGCCCCAGCCATGAAAACCTTGCAGCTGAGTTGATTCCCATTGAAATCAGGTAGTTTTACATGTTCAGTATTTTCTTTATATTCTCTTTGCTTTAATTTGTCTTAGTAATGACTTTCATAATCATGTAGAGAGAAGTTCTTCAGACTTCAGCATGAGAACAAGATGTTGCGGGTGCAGCAGGAGGAATATGAACAGGAGAGGATCGCCACCCTGCAGGTTCAGCTGAGAGAAGCTGAGAAGACTCACAGTAAACTGGACACGGAGAACAGGCAGGTGTCATGGTTTTTTTGTGCTTGTGATGATCCTCTTTCCGAGTCACTGAGGGTTTCTTTAATCTCTGCTTCCTCTCCAGACTGAGCCGGGAGCGAATCAGTGAGCTGCAGCAGCAGGTGGAGGACCTCCAGAGGGCGCTGCAGAGTCAGGCTGCCAAACCAGATGATGTAAGTGTGTCGCCGCCATGTGGCGGTATTGTACTGAACGATGAACATAGTTAAATATTTCCCAGGTTGATAATTTCTGTTGAGGGGAAAATATGGAATATTAGAAAAATATTTTATTTTAATTCTTGGTGGATCTTCCAGTAGCTCACTCATACATACTTAGATATTTATTTAAAGGTACACTATGCAACCGGTGTTGATTTTCCAGCGAGACTCCCCCCAGAGGGCGAAAGTAAAAGTGCACTGTCGTAAATATGCACAGCTGTTCTCCTGGTTTCTCCGTCAAGCCAGGCGCGGTTGTTTTGAGCTTAGCAGACAGGCGAACGCAACGAATGACTAATGCTGCGTTCACACCGCAGCTGGCGCGACAGAAGCAGCGAGTTTACATGCAAAGTCAATGGTTGACGCGCGTCAAGGCGCAGCAAAAGGTCCTGCGGCGCGTTTTGAGCAGCAGGCGCAGCGCGTCTGAGCAGCTGAAGCAGGGAGAGAGACACAGCGCTGATGATCAGAGGCTATGATCTCTCCTCTTAAACAGTTTATTGACGCCTAAATTAACTTAAAATGCAGAAATCTGCCGGCAGATTATGCAGTTTGGATTATTTAGATCAAAAACACCTACCAGCTGCCGCGGTGAACCGCGAGGAGGTGACCTGGCCTGAGGCTGCTGATGAAGGGGTTCCTTCTGTCGGCGCACCGCTGGTATGTGGGGGTCTGAGCGGCTCCGACAGAAAAAATATTGAAGGCAGGATAATAATCTGAATGAACTGACGGCACTGATTACGTTTTCAGGTGTATTTTCTCATTTAAACACATATTAAAACTACTTTATTCCAAATGATCACAGCAAATATAGCTGCAAGGCAGAGAAAGGATAGTGAAGCTCTGCCCAACGCGCGTCAGACACACTTTTGCACCGCGCAGCCAGAGCAGCAAAGCTGCTTCAGCCGCGCGTCAGAACTAACTGGTACAAGCAGCAAAATTGAAGCAGCAGACACGATTTTGCTGCTTTTGCTGCGTGAACGTAGCATAACTGCACAAGGATCGCCACTGTGCTAGTAACGAGAATGCTTTTAACTGGGGGGTGTAGCAGTTCTCGGCCGTAAAGCAAGACTGACTCTCACGAGACTTCTGAGCCTGTGGGTGCGGGTCGGTGCTCCTGCAATTGCAAGTGCAGTATTTCCCCCACAGACCACCAGGGCGGCCGAGAATACCTTTGTTCAACCTGAAATGACTCATTTAATCATCCAAAACGTTATGGAACACATTAATTGACTGAAAAATGTTGCATAGTGTGCCTTTAATGGCTCAATTACCCATCTCAGTAGTAACTAATTTATGCTGTAACTTTATAACATTCCGGGTGATTTAATTATTTACACTTATACTGACTTTGTAATATCTTTATTGTTTATTCCCATCTGTAGTTACTTGCATACTTTGTTACCTACTATCTACCTATTTACTTACATATTTAAAGGATCATGCCTGTTTTTTGCTTAATAGTCTAATTACATACAGTAGTAGCGGTTTAAAAGTTTGGCTAAAAGCCAAATATCCTCCGGTTTCCAGCCAAGTTCAGCCAAGCATAAAAGTCAGCCAATGAAGGTCTCATCATGGCTACTGCTGTACTTGTTGGCGTTTCTAGTAATTTACTTATATATTTAGTTACTTTCAAAATTAGTTTTGTAAGTACTTCCTTTAATTATTGCATTAGTCCAACGTGACACATGGTTTGGAGAAAGAACTTGGTTTTCAGTCAGGAGAAGGGGTGTAATGATTTATTTTAACCATTTGATTCGTGGACGATTGTGCTTCATTTAGAACGATCGATTTCATTCAGTGACTTGAAATTAATAAGTAAATCTTAATTCAGAAATGTAAATATTGTCACTTAATACCTGCATACTGGAAATCTCCTAGATTTTTGTTGTTTCTTTTAGGGGATAAATGAAATAAACATGGGCATAAACAAACCTGTAGTAAAATACTGCATTTTATTTTGAGCTCAACCAACAATAATAGGAAGTTAACCTTTGTTGTATTATTTTCAATAATTAAGGATAAAAAAAAATTTATGTGCACTAAATATGCTATATATATTTACCCAGTTGTTCTGTCAACATAAAAATATTACAAATAGAACGTTCATAAAATGATAAATGCAACTGACACGGCTTCAGGTTAAATGAGCAGTGGTTGAATCTACTGTTGCTGTCATTGTAATCAAGAAACAGCAGAGCACCAGTAACCAAATACTAACAAATTACTTTAGTTGATCAGCTGATCCACATGATCTGGCTGCAGTTCTATGCATATAAACTGATCATGTACAGTGGGGAGAACAAGTATTTGATACACTGTTGATTTTTCAGGTTTTCCCACTTGCAAAGCTTGTAGAAGACTGTAATTTTTATCATAGGTACTCTTCAACTGTGAGTGATGGAATCTAAAACAAAAATCCAGAAAAATACAATGTATGATTTTTAAATAATTAATTTCCATTTTATTGTGTGAAATAAGTATTTGATCATCTATCAACCAGTAAGAATTTTGGCTCTCACAGACATGTTAGTTCTTCTTTAAGAAGCCCTCCTGTTCTCCACTCATTACCTGTATTAACTGCACCTGTTTGAACTCGTTACCTGTATAAAAGACACCTGTCCACACACTCAATCAATCACACTCCAGCATCACCGTATATCTCTCCAGCTGAGTTTTTGCAGTCTCTAACGGGACATGATGGTGAGGCCTCTGCAGAGCTAACGGTCAGCTAATGGGCAGTTAACTGGCAATTAACCATACCTTGATGCTGCTGCAGCAGGAACACTGTGAACAATTCTTAGCAATCTTCGGCTCGGTCACTTCCCCTGCATCCACCAGGCTCTTTTGAAGGCTGCGCTGCACGTGCACAATCATGACGTCACAGACAGACTTAATCCATTCACCTTTAATGTCTTTATCATTAAAAATTTTACTGAGCCCCTAAAGGGACACTTAAGAAAAAAAAAAGTTCTCTTGCACACCAGTTATAGTTTCTGGTGTGCACCAAATACTTTCTCATATCAGATGGACCTCTTCTTTTTTTTTTTTACCTTAAATTAATTTTTCTGTTCATTTAGTAAACATCCATCCAGTCAGTTGCAGATGTGTTTGAATGAATTTCACAACATAATCAAGGTTTGTTTATCCTTTGTGCTGAAATAGACCACATGAATTCAGGATATGTTTTAAGTGATGTTCAGATGACTTGCAAGCAATGCAGCAACGTCTTTATACGGTAGCCCAAACTGAAAATATAGCCTAATAGGTTCATTTACATGTACAGTTAACATAAACATCCATTTTAATGAAGACTGTTGTCCGAAATACTTGTGCAATCATGCAAGAAAGTATCATGTGCGCACAAAATACTTTCTTGCATTTTAGAGAACGTTTCTGATGCTCACCAGATACTTTTTTCTTCTCTTGTGCGCCAGATACTTTCATACACACAAATACTTTTTGGTGTGCATGAGAAAGTATCTGGTGCACACAAGAAACTAATTTGTCCACTCGAGAACATGCCCCCCCCCCAAGTGTCCTTTTGGGGGCTCAGTGAAATACTCACATCTAAGAAAAAAAAAAAAAAAACTACCACACATCAATGTGTTATTTCCCTAATATTAATAAGATCCATTGATTACCCTTTAAATAGATTTTAGACTAGTTCACATCGTTTTTATCAACAATTTGCTGAACACCGATCGATGCTGGATCGCAGGAATAGAAATCGATCTATCGATGAAATGATCAGTCGTTAGAGCTCTAGTTGGGAGTTTTACTTATTTTTTAGCCTGTGGTTTTGAGCTTAACTAATTACATTGATTTCATATTTTTTTTAGTCAAACCTGAAGAGGAAACTGGACGCCCACATGTGAGTTGTTTTGCTCATAGACAATAGAAATATAGGCTGACTGTCTCCAGTTGGAGGATGTTGATTTGTTGTCTTTCTTCAGGTCCCAGCTCAACGAGGCTCAAGATGAAATCATGAAGAAGAAGGAGCTTCTGGAGGATCTCCAGCCTGACAACACTCAGACATGTGGGTTTAAATGCTCTTTTCTTTTGCTGTTTTTCTGCTATTCTATCACACATGAAACAAACCTGGTTTCTTGTGCATCAGCTTTGAGGGTGGATGAGCTGATGGCAGCCCTTAAGAAGAAGGATGACGACATGCGGGCCATGGAAGAGAGGTACAAAATGTATCTGGAGAAGGCTCGCAATGTGAGTTGTATGAACATGCCTTTGATAACCCTTACAAGATCAGGTTGGATAAAGGGAGCTAATATCTTACTTCGTCTTTCATTTTGGCTTTCAGGTAATACGAGCTTTGGACCCCAAGCTGAATCCTGCCACTGCTGAGATCCAGGCTCTTAGAAACCAAGTGGCAGATCGGGACAAGCAGATCCTCAACCTCGAAGTAATTTCACCTTCATGAAACGAATATGAATCAAGGAATGTGGGAAGAAGTGTAATAATTCAATCGTATTCTTTATTTTAGCGTCTATGTGAGCAGGCCAGGCTGAAGGAGGTCGAGGAGAAGCTCATTGTTACAGCTTGGTATAACAAGGTGAGTTAAAATCACTTTGATTTAAAAGGATTGTAAGACGGATAACAGCTGTAGCATCTAATAATGAAAAGAGCTGCAAAACAATTCGATTTTGATAGCAGTTATTTAAAGCATGATAATCCCCTCACTCAGCTTTCAGTCAGTGCGGCTCTTTACCCACATAGTTTAGACCAGGCCTACTGTTGCGGCGAACGCCCCCTTTGTTTACATCAGCTGTTTGAGCGTGAGCACGCAGCTTACCCTCGTGCAATCAGTCGATCAAAAGAAGGTGAGACAAACTTCCTAGTTTAAGCAGAGGATCGCAGCATGAAATAAAAAGCCTGCCGTTCTACTCGAGCAGTGGAAGAAGCTGTGCAAAATTTGTATTAAAGAAGTGAAGGACTGACAGCCAGCAGACAGCCGGTAAGCTTGCATTTAATCCTGTCGTGAATAGAATGCATGTGCTGCGCTGATGAGGCATTGAGACGTGCGGGAAATGTTTGTTTGTAGTGTTGTTAAGCTTATAAATACTATATAAAATGTTGGCTTGTAAGGCTTCTTGAAGCCTGCTTTATTTAGTCGGAGAAATGCTGGTGTAACTTGTTTTTCAGTCATTTGTTTGACGTTGTGGTTGAAACGGTCCAACTTAATGTGTTTGTGACACTGTTGCACGGGGTAATTTGTGCATCTTTCTTCTATGTGTGATTAAAATAGACTTAATATTCCACAGTTAAAATTAAATTTCATAGGCTGCGTTATGCAGATTTAAAACGTGCTAAAAATCACTAACTGGTTATTTACTATTGCTATTTAAGAATTAATGTAATCTATGGGGTTAAATAACCTGCACAAATCCACTTCTGTTGTTAAAATGCTTTAATACATTTTTGATGCATTTTTTTTATGATAATTAAAAACTAAATGGTCTTAACTTAAAGTTAAAAACAGTCTATTTTCATACATATATTTCATGATGCATTTCTCAGAACTATTACAATGTGCAATATGGTAAATGCTTTGTTTGGTTTGATTTCTTTTAAAGGTTTTTCGCCTGCTTAATTAATGATTATCTGTAAACGACACAAGAAGAAAAATAAAAAAGGAAAAGATGAAACAACAGTTTGGTCATTGAGTGGAATCCAGTTTAATGTTCAGCTTAATACAACCCTTCAAGTGTGGGAATAGCACAGGAAAGATTTAATCACTTGACACCTACTGTAGCCTCCTTCTGATCAGCAAAGGCTCCATATTAGTTCTTTAAACATCATGCTTTCATCAAAACTCTTCAGTGATGTCGCTCTTACTGTTTGAAGACTCGCAAGTTAGCTACTTTTGATGCTGCATCAGTAAGATATATAAAATGAAAGTTAGAGGAAACACAAACTTTCAAACAAACTATAAATTAGAAAAACAATTGTTTGTATTTGTGGGGCAGAAAGGCATTGAGGAATATTTTTCAGGTGGAAAAACTATTTTAAATGTCATCATGTCTGATTTACAGGTCATTAAATGAAGAGAAAGTGACAAAAAAATAAAATAATTTAGCCTCAACAATTTTTTTTCGAAAAATAAACACTGTAAACACCCTGAAACCCCATTTGAAACTTTGGACGAACCTTTAGACTTTATAGATCCACATCTTGACTAAAACTCAAACAAATCTGGCGGAAAAAGTGAAAGCATGTTTGGTTCACCGAGGTTTTAGTGGGCAGGGTGCTCGGCAGAAATGTGATTGTGGCAAAGTGGCCAAATTGTGCTGAATGCATTCTTTTCACTCATAAAAGGGAATCTGGCCAGACCAATATGCTGATTAACATCATTGGAGACCTTCTGCAAAAGACAAAGCCTTTGCTCCTAAGATTTAGGCCCCGTCCACACGAAGTCAAAACGAACACGAAACGCTAATATTTTCCAGAACGTTTGTCGTAAAGACGAAGACGTAAAATAAATGTGATCGTCCACACGAATGCATGAAAACGCTGCAAAATGTATGCCAGGCCTGTAAGTGGCGCTGTGGTGCCAAAGCAAAAATAGGCGAAAACGGGCAACGAAATGTTGGGCATGCGCACTAATATTTATACATGGTTGCCCTGCGGGTCCATTTTCGTGGTTAAGTCAAATTCAGGTGCTGAACTATGTCGTCGATATTGCTCTGTTCTTCCTGGAGATATTCCAGAAGAAGAAGATTCTGTTGTAAGCCCGACAGCAGGGTGAGTAGCATGAGCAGCAACCATTCAACACAGTACGGCGCCATTGTTGTTGTGATACTGTGTCGCGCATGCGTGTTTAGAGGCGACGCTATGACGCATGCGTGTAAAAAAAAAAAAAATGCGGTTAGAGCTTAAAGATGGAAACGCGAAAACGGCGTTTCAAAATCTTCCCACTCTGAAGGCTGAATAAAAAAAAGATCGTTTACAGACCCCCGAAACGCGGGCTTCGTATGGATGAGAGGCTGGTTTGGTGAAAAATTTGTGATTTTAGGCCAGGGTTTGACTTCGTGTGGACGGGGCCTTAACCGTTGTTTCATTGAAATTTACCAATAATATCACCAGACTGAATAGAAAATAAGAATAACTGAACGAGCTTATGTAACGCATGCCGGTTACATCACCTGAAATTGTCAAATAATTACTTCCAACCCCTCCTTGTAAAGGTCTGTGCCTCTAGTTTCCAAGGATGGCGGCCATTAGGGGGCGGGACTAAAAATGAATGCCTGCTGTTGCATTACTCCAGCAGAGTCAGCATGTCAGGTGGAATGTTGAATCTCATTTTATTTCTTTACACAGCTATAAAACAAAAGGTATTTGGGAAAAAATTATTTTGAAACATGTTATAGAAATTTTAAAGCTACATTTGAAAAGCGGGTGGATGAAACACCAAGTGACTGTGTTTTGGCCATTTAGAGGGGAGTGGTGGCCTAGTGGTCAGGGCATAGGGCTTCAAATCCTGAGATTGTGTGTTCGATCCCCACTCCCACAGCCTGCCACTCTGGGTCCCTGAGCAAGACCCTTAAAGGAATAGTACACCCAAAACATGATTAGCCTTCATTTTCTACTCACCCCCATGCCGAACAACACTCTGGAGTACTTTTTTGATATCTCAAATGCATCTGGAGATCTGGGAGGCTTCTTGCTGTCTGCTGACATTCAAATAATGGAGGTCTATGGCGCCCGAGGCAGAAAGGTCCATAAAAGTCCACAAAAAACGTGTCAATATTCCGCCATACTGCTCGTCCAATGTATTCCAAGTGTCCTGAGTGGGTAGCGTCCATAGTTTACTCGAAACGAAGTCATTTAGAATGTTTTTAGAGCATAAACAGTAGTGTATAGGATATATTAAAAGCGCGTTCACGACTCTACAGAAACCGCGGCAGACCAAACCAGATGAAAGTGCGCATTCAGCGTCTGCTCTGCTGATAATGCAAGCGTAGAAGAAGAAATGTGCTGTTTACCTGTGCAAAGAAAGAAACAACGAAAGAAAAATGTCTGTTCTGACATTTTTGCCGAGCTGAATGCGCACTTTCGTCTGGTTTGGTCTGCCGCGGTTTCCGTAGACTCGTGAACGCGCTTTTAGGAAATCCTATACACTACTGTTTATGCTCTAAAAACATTCTAAATGACTTCGTTTCGAGTAAATTATGGATGCTACCCACTCAGGAACCTTGGAATACATTGGACGAGCAGTATGGAGGAATATTGACACGTTTTTTGTGGACCTTTATGGACCTTTCTGTCTCGGGCGCCATAGACCTCCATTATTTGAATGTCAGCAGACAGCAAGAAGCCTCCCAGATCTCCAGATGAATTTGAGATATCAAAAAAGTACTCCAGAGTGTTGTTCAGCATGGGGGTGAGTAGAAAATGAAGGCTAATCATGTTTTGGGTGTACTATTCCTTTAACCTCACACTGCTCCCCGGGCGCCTCACAATTGGCAGCCCAGATGGGTTAAATGCAGAGAAGTAATTTCCCTCTGGGATTATTATAGTATATAAAATATATATATATATTTTAAATTCTATAAATAGATAACATTAGTCCAGGATTTAAGGGGTTAAAGACATTATATAAATAGTTGTTATGCAATTAAAGCTTTGAGATGGAGAGAAATAGCTAAACTTTCAGCAGGCTCGTTGTAGTTTTGCTGTTGAATCTTCAGCTTTTTTCTTCCTGAAAAAAAGGCTAAATTTGAAAATGCTTCACTCTATTAATGCTAACATTACCATTAGACATCTGTTCATATCGGTGAGGTGATTCACCTTCTGAAGGCAGCTATCAGAAGGCGTTGGTTGCGTTAGTTTTATTCAGGCTGTATCAATCAGCTGTGTCCCATAAGTCAGCTCCATCCTCATCAGCATCTGTTTTATAGATGGCTATACAGGTGCTGGTCATAAAATTAGAATATCATGAAAAAGTAGATTGATTTCAGTAATTCCATTTAAAAAGTGAAACTTGTATATTATATTCATACATTACATACAAACTCATATATTTCAGATGTTTATTTTGTTTAATTTTGATGATTACAAATGACAACAAATGAAAATCTCAAATTCATCATATCAGAAAATTAGAATATTGTGAAAAGGTTCAAAATTGATGGCCCCTGGTGCCACACTCTAATCAGCTAATTAACTCAAACCACCTGCAAAAGCCTTTAAATGGTCTTTCAGTCTAGTTCTATAGGCTACACAATCATGGGGAAGACTGCTGACTTGACAGTTGTCCAAAAGACGACCATCGACACCTTGCACAAGGAGGGCAAGACACAAAAGGTCATCGCTAAAGAGGCTGGCTGTTCACAGAGCTCAGTGTCCAAGCACATTAATAGAGAGGCGAAGGGAAGGAAAAGATGTGGTCGAAAAAAGTGTACAAGCAAGAGAGATAACCGCATCCTGGAGAGGATTGTGAAACAAAACCCATTCAAAAATGTGGGGGAGATTCACAAAGAGTGGACTGCAGCTGGAGTGAGTGCTTCAAGAACCACCACACACAGACGTATGAAAGACATGGGTTTCTGCTGTCGCATTCCTTGTGTCAAGCCACTCTTGAACCACAGACAGCGTCAGAAGCGTCTTGCCTGGGCTAAAGAGAAACAGGACTGGACTGCTGGTGAGTGGTCCAAAGTCATGTTCTCTGATGAAAGTAAATTTTGCATTTCCTTTGGAAATCAAGGTCCCAGAGTCTGGAGGAAAAGAAGAGAGGCACTTCATCCACGTTGCTTGAAGTCCAGTGTAAAGTTTCCACAGTCAGTGATGGTTTGGGGTGCCATGTCATCTGCTGGTGTTGGTCCATTGTGTTTTCTGAGGTCCAGGGTCAACGCAGCCACATACCAGGAAGTTTGAGAGCACTTCATGCTTCCTGCAGCTGACCAACTTTTTGGAGATGCAGATTTCATTTTCCAACAGGACTTGGCACCTGCACACAGTGCCAAAGCTACCAGTACCTGGTTGAAGGACCATGGTATCCCTGTTCTTAATTGGCCAGCAAACTCTCCTGACCTTAACCCCATAGAAACCCCATAGAAAATCTATGGGGTATTGTGAAGAAGAAGATGCAATACACCAGACCCAACAATTCAGAAGAGCTAAAAGCCACTATTAGAGCAACCTGGGCTATCATAACACCTGAGCAGTGCCACAGACTGATCGACTCCATGCCACGCCGCATTGCTGCAGTAATACAGGCCAAAGGAGGCCCAACTAAATACTGAGTGCTGTACATGCTCATACTTTTCATGTTCATACTTTTCAGTTGGCCAACATTTCTATAAATCCTTTGTTTTTATTGGTCTTCAGTAATATTCTAATTTTCTGATATGATGAATTTGAGATTTTCATTTGTTGTCATTTGTAATCATCAAAATTAAACAAAATAAACATCTGAAATATATGAGTTTGTATGTAATGTATGAATATAATATACAAGTTTCACTTTTTAAATGGAATTACTGAAATCAATCTACTTTTTCATGATATTCTAATTTTATGACCAGCACCTGTAGATGCAACCAATACGCAAAATTGAGAAGGCAACACACAAAACAGCCCCATTCTACAGATAGAGAAATGTTAATAGAATAGACATCCATTATCTGTTCTAGGTTTTGTCCCTCTCTTCTTGTCCCTTTTCTTCTTGTTTTCCTCTCTATGTTTTGTACTCGGCTGACTTTTCATGCTGTCTCTAAAGGAATGAAAGATTTTTTCCAAGCACTAAGCTCACTTAGCTGATTGCTCCTTCCTGTGTTTCCAAAAAGGCCAAAGTAAATAACCCAGTCCTTCTTTTCACTGTAGACAAGCCATGATCTGCTTATCTGTTCTCCATTTTTCATTTGGATGAAATAATAGCTGCATGAATCATGACAGCAGACAAGATAGAGGAGAGCAGGAGGCGGGGTTACCAATCTACTTGCTCTGGAGAGCAGAGTTCGCTGCTTTTAGATGTTGTCTCCAAAGTCTCCAGAACATGTGCAGCAAATGGACTGATCCAATATGGTGGACACTGAAGGGGTCCACCATATTATAAACCTTCTGATGGCATTTTAGCTAAAATCATTTTTTTTTATCAAAAACATAATTAATGTGAACAAATAAGGAATAGTGGTAAACACAGTTTTATGGGCCCCCCAGGAACTTGGGGCCCTAGGCAACTGCCTAGTATTGCCTAATGATAAATCCCCCAATAAGAAAACAGACTTGGTTAAAATTGGTACCAGAAGTTGCATTTTATAAAAGCAGGTTCTGCAGAAATTAGCAACAATGTTTATTCTTGTGTATCTCTACTAAATCAAAGTCTGCCATTGCTTTCTTTGCTCTCAGAGTTTGGGCTTTCAGAAGTTGGCCATGGAATCCCGCCTCGGAGGCCGCGCTGCCTCCATGTTCTCCCCTGGCCAGTCCTTTCTGACGCAGCAGAGGCAAGTCTCAAACGCCCCGCGCAGGGATTCCTCCATCAGCGCTCCCACCACTACCTCCAAGTAGACTGTGTCACATTAGTTAAACAAGGCAAAAACATGCATTATGAGCACCCAAGTGACCTTAAACACATCTGCTGTCTGCCTTTGAGGTGGATCGCACTGCGTGGGATCAGTGAGCACTGATCAGACGGGTACCTGTCTAAGGTAGAAGCAGTGAGGTTATACCCTGCCGTGCTTCAGCCTGAAGGACTTCACCCCAAACTCCACCTCACAAGCCAAAGCCAGATGTAGATTTTCTATCACTGTCTACATGTTTGGAACAAAGTACTTTTAGAAATGAAGTCTATTATAGTTTTAGTTTTGCTTTAGAGTGACATTTAAGTTGCGAAGCCAATCAGATTTTATGTGTAAATACTTAAGAAATGCACCATAACGCTGCACACGCAATCCAGCAGAATAAATAATCTTAAATCCAGCCATATCTGGTGCGGGCCACCAAGGACTTCTAAGCATTTGGCAACAAGCGCTGCCAGTTTGTTTTCTTTTTCCAAAAAATTCAAAACTCATTCACATCAATGACCAAATTTTAAAAAAATGAATGAAATCACACTAACTCTGCTAGACACTTGAGGTACTGCAATAACAAATCTTAGGAAATCCATTTCAGAATAGTCATTTTTCTCCATCTGCTTTAAACTGGAGCTGAGAGGCTCTTTTTGTTCGCTGTATATCTTGATTCTTATATGTAATAGTTAAGTTATTAATAGAAAAATGAATGATTCAACACCAGCTTTTAAAAACAACAATCACAAACAGAAAGGTTTTAATAATTGTAGTCAAAGTTTTATCTAAGAATGTTGATTATTTTTAAATAAAGTTAGACATTCACACTAAAGCTTATTAATCTACCACCTGGCTGTTAAATATAAACAGGAAACCTATTAGTGTATTTATGTGTTTTTTTTTTTTCATGTTCAATGTGATTTTATTGTGACTTTTTGTGATGGGCCATCATAACATAGAGCTTTATTGTTAATTAAAAAGAGAAATTATTTCTAATTTTTTTAATTTTTACAACATCTGTAAGGTATAGGCTGCAAATGCTTCAATTCCTGCCGAGCCATCGGTGGGATTTCCATCTGGTTGTGGTCATTTCTAGGTTGAACGCTCTAAGGCGTGAACCCAAACCATTTAATCACTGCTCTGAATGTAGGTTTAGGTTTATTTTCCTGCTAAAAGGGAAACTTGGTCCTCCGTCTAAAGTCCTTCTCTGCCAGGATCGCCCTACGTTTAGCAGCATTTACACCTGCAGGTAAATGTCACCCCACAGCATGGTGCTGCCACCACTACTTTGTAACGTTGATGGTGAGTTGTACGCCAAACATGGGGTTTTACAGGCTAACACCACCTCTATCATGCATAAAGGACTGATAGCGAGGCTGGATTCTATTTGGGGTTATGGGTAAAGCAGTGAATAAATGCTTTCCCCACTTTTTAAGCTTATTTTGTATGTGTGCTAATACTTCCGCTTTATATTAATGCTTTATTTTATGTTGCTCCTTTCACAAAAAGTCCTGAGTAAAATGTTTGTGGATTTAATAAAGTGAATGAAAGCTTCTACAAGTCATTGCAAGCTGTTCAGGTTTGGCGTGTTCTTGCCTTTTCACTCTATATGCTGTGAGCTGCGCCTCAGAGATCTGCTGTAATATGACCACATGATTTAGAGATCTATGTCTCCTGATCCTCTTTATTTTTCTTGAAAATTGCTGATTATAAAAACAAAACAAGGTACAATCAAGGGTAGATCAACAGCCTGCATTATGCTAAATGTTTGTTTGTAATTTATTAAATAAATGTTTAATGGAATTCAGAAATTGGAAGTTTTTGTTCTCTAAATAAATTTGTTTTGTAAAACTGCATGTATCCTTTTTTTGTCAGAGAATCCTTCATCGGTTTTCTCAGACGGAAACTGTTCATAGAAAAACGTATATTTGCTGTTGTCATCATGTAATTCAGCATTTTCTGTTTACAATAATGAATAATGAAAAGACTCCAGTCAGACAGATTCAACCACAAACTCTGATTGACGTCCAAAAGCTCTAGGAATAAAATTAACGGAAGTGAAGGGTGGCTATTAGTAATAATTAACACTGGTACGTGTATGTTTGCAGGTTTAGCGTCTAGTTTTGGACACGTGACAAATCAGTAATTTTGTGCAAACATGACAATGCTTCATCTTATTCATCATCTGGTTAAAAAAATCCTGATTCTGCCACATTAACAACAGATATGTGTTGTTAACAAAGAGCTTGTCGTCTATCCTGCAGCTTATATTGCGTTGCTTGTGTTCTGCAAAGGAAAGCGGGATTTTGCAAAGATCTTAAATGGGTACGGTGTACGTGTGGCTCCGGTTATTCCTTCGTATCTCAGCTCCACTCCATCCTGGGTAGCGAAGTGAAACTTCTGGAACAAGCCGACAAAAAACAGGAAGAGTTCCATTCTTGCCAGACCCTCGCCAAGACATGCTCGCTTTCCTTAGAAGAGAAGGGAAAAGGGTACCTCCATCATCCCCTAGTTCTAAATTAGAGTAGTTTTAAAAAAAATGTGTGCAGACTTATTGCTTTAATGAATTAACTACCAGCAGAGAAAGGTAGGAAGGCGTCCCTCCTCCTGAAGCTGCCGTCATCATCCAGGAAGTGTTTGGGGTTGAAGCTGTCAGGAGTTTCCCATTCGTTCTTATCAAAAAGAACAGAGGTCAGGTTAGGCATCACAGCCGTCCCCTGAAGACACGGAGAGACAGCCATGAGCCAGCATTGAGCAGAGGAAGAGAACATTCTGCAGGAGTGTTCTGGGGGAAGATGGGATGCACCTTTGGTATGAAGTAACCACCTAGGGTTGTGTCTCTGGCAGCCATCCGGAGCCCGTTGAGGGGAACGATGTTTCCCATCCTCTGGATCTCGTGGATGACTGCATCAGTGAAGGGCATGTTGGATCTGTCCGCCATGGTGGGCTGACGCTTCTGACCAACCACTCTGTCTATCTCTTCCTGGACTTTCTCTGCAGGCAAATCATATCGATTAGGGACTAATAAGCAGGAGATTCCCTTTGGTATAGTAATTTAGTCCGTTCTTCTTGTAAGAACTGTCCTAATCTGAGCTCACCCTGTATGGGAGGATTGTTTATAAGGTAGATTAGTCCCCACTGCAGAGTCTTTGAAGTGGTTTCACTGCCAGCCAAGAACAGATCCAGACAGCACAGCACCAGGTTTTCTTCCACAAAGCCCATGTCCTGCTTTCTGTCACGCTGTCAAAGCAGAGACACACATGCTAACGGGTCTTATGTGTGACATTTCTACCCCCGTTTTTAACATTTCCAATGAACTGAAGTGATGCGTACTCTTTCCTCTATAAGGAAGCTGTCAATGTAATCTCGTGGTTTGTTTGGATCCAGTTCCAACTTGTGTCTTTCTATTTCTTTCCTGATTGATGCCTTTAAAGACTTAGAGCTGCTAAAAATCCCATTGTGAGGCCCTGGCAAGAGTCTCATCAATGCCGGGAAAGCATCATAAAGCTGTTAACAGAAGAAAATCAAGACTTTAAAACATATAAACTGTCTTTGAGTATAAAAAGAAAACAAACACCCAATGATGGCATCAAGTGCAACAAAGGATTTTTTTCTTTGTGTCTTACTAGAGCCCATATTGAACCTTCAAGGTAGGCCATGTCTGTCAGATTTCTCAACATGCTCTGCAGCTCCTCGTCACTGTAGTCAAATCTTCTACCAAACACGATCTGGCAGATGATGTTGGAAACAGCGTTGTCCAGGAGTGGCACCGGGTCAAAGGGCTTACCTGACAGGAGGACAAGTTTTTAAACAAAGAAAGTGACATGAAGCTACAGTCTGATCTTTTTTCTGCAGCTTTCTACCTTCCTCCTTCTCCATCGCCTCCCGTAGATGTCGACTCTCCTGACGGATGTTCTCCTCCATGCATCCCTTGGACATGCCAAACGTACGCAACATGGCCATAGCAAAGCGTCGCTGCCTCCTCCATACCTTCCCATTACTGAAGAAAAGACCTCCTGAAAAAGGTGGAGAAATCAAACAACCCTCAACTATTGGTTGTGATCATCCTTCAGGTCTGGTCAACTCGACTTACCTGAGTTTCCTGAGTAAATCAGGGTCACCATGGGGCTGTAAGGCCGGTCCGCAAAGTTTTCAGCCTGTATCACTAAAGCCTCTCTCACCATCTTCCACCCAGACAAGAACACGGTTTTGTGTCTTCCCAGACGTATGCAGAAAATGTTCCCATAAAGATCAGCAAGCTGTGATTGTAGAAGCAAAGGATAAGGGCTCCATTGTGGAGCATATGACTACAATAATGCATAGTCCATGTGTTGTTGGCACCGGGACCAGTCATCAAATTTTTCACATTTTTGGATTCGAGTATGTCTAAGAAATCACCAAACATTTAGAAACTGTATAGATTTTATGTATGCAGTTTTAATTTTGCTAAAATGTTGGATTACCATTTTTTTTTTTTTTTTTACTTAAATATACAAACTGACCTTAGTGAGGTAAATATGAGGCTGCTTAGATTCGATGCTGAATACATTCCCAAAAAAAGGAAGAGCCGGTGGTCCTGGTGGAAAGTGAGGTGGATCCCTTTTGATGAGCAGGTTGACCAAGAGGAGGACTGCAAAAGTAAAAATCATTATCCATCTGAGGCTGAGCCACTGAGCCAAGCTGAGGAGCCACATTTTCACAGAGAGCAGAAAGAAAGGAAACATGTCAGGAATATGTGTCCACATGGTCCTGATGTGGGCTGGTACTCTGCTGACTCCAGCTCTGGTAGATGTGAAAGGCGTGACTCTAAATCAGCCCTCAGTTATAATCTGCCTGCTTTGTTTAGTGGATTACATGTTTGTTTGACTTGATAGATCATAAATAACGTAAACATTTAGCATGAATGTTTAAAAAGTGGAGAAAAGTTTGTCTTCTTCTCTATATAGTTGCACAGGAACAGTGTTTGCTTTATTGGAACCGACCAGCAGATGACAGCAAAGGTGGGAATTCTGTATAAAATTTAATTTAAATAATTTATCATCTTTTTTTATGGGAATTTCATTTGCAATGGAGTCTACAAATCAACAGACAAAATGTGCACTTGTTTAAAAAAAAACAAAAAAAAAAACAACATTAAATCAAAACAAACAAAAGCTAAGGAAATAAAATACATCAGGCATTATGGCTGTTAATGGTAAGTGTAAAAAAGAGGCAGAGGATCTTTAATTATTGGTGTTGCCCTCAAATTAGCACAAACAATCTAAAGGCCATTTTGCAGAAAAGATGAAGCTCTGATGGGATGAAATAAATCTGTGAACATTAGTTCAGTTTGATTACAGATTGAACATTTAAGGAGAGGATTATTCTAGAGTTTTCTTTCATCATAACCATTCTGCTGTCGGTCCACGTGAAGAAACTACGCTGAACGGCTAAAGGTTTTACAGAAGAACGAATAACGACAGACCTGAACAAAAAGTTGATCATCAACAGATGAACCAGATGACTCCATGAATCAAAAGTTTGTGACTGTTTTTGTAAAGAATAATGGGCAAAGACAAAAGAGTGTCTAAAAACAAGATAAACAGAAAACCTTACACTGTACATTCTCTTGATCAAATTTATTCCTAAGTACATCTCTCCATTGTTGATATTGGCTATACTGAATCAGCACATGTTCTAAATCTTCCAGCTCATCACAGTAATCACAGTTCCCTGTTACATGTTTCCTTGTTATAATATCCTCTTCCATTCTATTTCTACTTGTCTTCCTTGCTTGATTGACCTTTTGAATTCTATATAAATGTCTTCCTTTATGTTCTCCTTCCCATTCTTCTGCCACCTTTGACTAGCCACCTTTTTACTATAGATTTAATTTCTGCTTTATTGTGTTAGGATAATTGTCATTAATATATGAGTTTATTACACCTTCATAATACCTGCCTGTTGCGTGTCAGAAGTGATGTTTTCCTCAGTAGTTTATCTAATTAAGACAGTTCCTCTGTCTGGATATACAGTTATAACCTTCATTCTGTGCGTGGCAAATATTTGGAAATGGAATGAGAGAACGGCGTCTTTCAGCCAAGAACAAAGTGTAATATTTTGATAAGGCTGGAGCCATGGATGTCTCCTCATCTGTAGTAATGTAAAATGTGATGATGTGGCAGACTGTAGATGTATAAAATGTCTCTTTAACTATTAATTGGGGCCACTTCCTGAGAGTGAGCCCGGGAGTATGCAGCTGCCAATCAAGACAGTGTATTCTCATTATCAGTTCGTATGAAATCGTACGAAAAGTTATGCACAGTATTTTGTAGGTTTTTGACGTTTTTTCGTCGTATTTCGTCCTATTTGTACGTCTTACGCACCATTCAATAACATACAATTAACCCTAACATACAAAACAAAACAGCAAGCCACCTAGTGAGAGACATCATAAAGTAATTATTGCACTGTCCGTCCCAGTTTTACGTCATTCCGCTGATCTGTTTTTTTCGTCTGTCTGGCTGCGCACTAATATGTTTTTTTGAGGAAAAATGTCAAAAACGTACGAAATACTGTGCATAACACTGTGCATAACTTTTCGTACAATTTCATACGAACTGATAATGGGAATATGTTGATCAAGATGACCATTTCTATCAGAATCTGTTGTCATGTCTAATGGTTTTTCAGTACATATAAGTTATGAAGTGTTATTTAAAGAATTTGTCCCGGGGGATCTCTTTTCAGGAAACAGAACCAGAGAGAGAGCTTCAAGGTGCAGACACAGAGCCTTAAACAACTGTATTAAATGCTGATGTCCACTTGGTTCTTTTGTGCATCCCATAACTTTTTATTCTGGTAACACATATCAAAAGTAAGATCTTTTCTATATTGTAAATACATTTCCTTAATATTAATCAGAGCCCTGCTAGAATCTGAACAAACAATAACAGACAGATTTTTCTTCTACCCATTGTAGTGTCAGCATTAATGCCACTACCACTCCTGTATAAACAGACAAATTATCACTGGGTCGATAATTTTATACAATATTTAGATCCGGGATAACAAGAGCAACTCCTCATCTGACTTTTTGACGTGTTTGAAAATATCTGAAGTCTTTGTATTGTTTTCCTAAGTAACCAATAACCTTATTCTTATCAATGGTTGCTCTCTGCTTTACTTTAAGGAGATGCAATTCTACATCAACCTCTTCAAATAACCATGGAGAAACCTTCACACAGAAATTCAGGATCTAAGTTGTTATTTTTTTGGTCTTTATAGGAAGTCGGAAACTCTTGAATGTTTGTTTTCACAACGACTGCGAACAATTAGTTCATCAATTTTAACTACGTCCACTCAGAGTTAAGCACGTGCACAACAAGTATGAAAAGCTATTATCAGCGGAGCTCCGATTCGACAGGTACTTAAGAAAGTAAAAAAAACTAAATTATACTAGTAAGAATTGAGTTTTATATATAGAAATGTTTACATATTTTAAGTGGCCATTCTGACATTTATTAGCTTGTCTGAAAATGTATTTATGATATCTGAAAAAAAAAATTTCATGGTTAAAATGATGCAAATGCTGACCAGTAGTATTTGGAATATGAAGATCCCAAATCAATTTAAAGATATCAAGAATCATTATCCTAGATGTTGTGTTTGAAATGGGCATTTCGATGAAGATTTTTTTTTCCAGATATTAGGAATACATATTCAGTAAAACTACTATATATCACAACGGCTTGCCATAGTTGTTGTTAACGCAATTATATCCAGGGAATAATTTCTTGAATGGTAGTAAGGAGAAGTAGTTAAAATCTCCCATCATAGTGGGAGATTTTAACATCCATGCTGACATTGAAGGCGATAGCTTAAGAGCAGCCTTTAATGCTATCTTAGACACTATTGGCTTTGTTCAAAATGTGAATAGTCCCACGCATTCTCATCTTCATACTTTGGATCTTGTGCTGACATACGGCATAGAATGTGAAGAAATAACAGTATTTCCTCACAACCCTGTCCTCTCTGACCACTTTCCAATAACCTTCAGGATTACTTTAACAGAGTTCTCCTCCCCCAAAAGAAGGTTCAATTTTAGTAGATCTTTATCAGATAGTGCAGTTATAAATTTTAAAGAATCTGCTTCACTTTCTCTCTCCTCTGTGTCACTGAGCAGTGCTGCAGAGTGCAAAAGCTTAGCTTATTCCCCTTCACAGGTTGATGATTTTGTTGATGGGGTTGCTAGTTCTCTGCGTATTGCCTTAGACAACGCAGCTCCTTTGAAAATGAAAACCGTTAAAAATAGAAAGCTTGCTCCTTGGTTTAATGCAGAGCTGCGTACTTTGAAGCAAAATGCTAGGAAACTGGAGAGAAAATATCGCTCCACAGGCCTGCGAGAGTCCTTCCTAGTCTGGAAAAATGGTTTACCGCTGTATAAGAGGACTCTTTGTAAAGCAAGAGCAGCATACTTCTCCTCATTATTAGAGGAGAATAAGAATAATCCTAGATTTCTTTTTAATACAGTTGCCAAACTCACCCAGAGCCATAGCTCTGTTGAACCGTCCATTCCACCTGCTCTTAGCAGCAATGATTTTATGGGATTCTTTATAAATAAGATTGATCTTATTAATAATAAGATCATAAGCACTCCTCTATCCGCGATTGTACCTGAGGTAGTCATGGAATCTGAACCGGGTTTAGACTGCTTTGATCCAGTTGAACTCTCTGAATTAGCAAAATTATTGTCTTCATCTAAGCCTTCAACTTGTATGTTAGATCCAGTTCCAACCAGGTTATTTAAGGAGGTATTCCCTTTGATCTCCTCCTCCATTTTAGATGTGATTAATCTATCTCTGTTACAGGGATATGTACCTAAAGCTTTTAAGGTTGCTGTAATTAAACCTCTGCTTAAGAAACCGTCTCTTGACCCAGATGACTTGGTCAATTATAGACCTATATCCAATCTTCCTTTCTTATCCAAAATTCTTGAGAAAGTAGTTGCCAAACAAGTTTGCGATCACTTCCACCATAATGAACTTTTTGAAGAGTTTCAGTCTGGCTTTAGAGCTCATCATAGCACTGAAACAGCTCTGGTGAAAGTCACTAATGATATTCTCATGGCCTCAGATAATGGACTTGTATCTGTGCTCGTCCTGTTGGATCTTAGTGCTGCATTTGATACAGTTGACCATAATATTCTTTTAGAAAGACTTGAATATTTTGTTGGAATTAAAGGAACAGCACTAGACTGGTTTAAATCTTATCTATCTGATCGAATTCAGTTTGTTCATGTTAATGATAGATCTTCAACACGCTCAAAGGTTACCTGTGGAGTACCACAGGGATCAGTGCTAGGACCAATTCTCTTTACTTTATACATGCTCCCAATTGGTAGAATTATTAGACAGCATGGGATTAATTTCCACTGTTACGCTGATGATACCCAGCTATATCTGTCTATAAATCCAGATGAAGCTAACCCATTACATAGATTACAGGCATGTCTTGAAGACATAAAAACCTGGATGACTCTTAACTTTCTGCTCCTGAATGCAGACAAAACAGAAGTTATAGTCTTTGGACCAGAGTCTCTGAAAAAGAAACTGATTAGCCAGTCACTTCATTTGGATGGGATTAAACTGATTTCAGATAATAAAGTAAAAAATTTTGGTGTTATTTTTTGATCAGGACCTGTCATTTAAATCCCACATCAAAGAGGTTTCTAGAATTTCCTTCTTTCATCTGAGGAACATTACAAAAATTAGAAATATCCTGTCCAGGGGTGATGCTGAGAAACTAGTCCATGCATTTGTTACTTCAAGGCTGGACTATTGTAATTCTTTACTATCAGGAAGTCCACAAACTGTAGTTAAAAGCCTTCAGCTGATCCAAAATGCTGCAGCCAGAGTTCTGATGAAAATTAAAAAGAGAGATCATATCTCTCCTATCCTGGCTTCTCTTCATTGGCTTCCTGTTAAATCAAGAATAGAATTTAAAATCCTCCTTCTCACATATAAAGCCTTATATGGCCAAGCTCCATCTGATATCAGAGATCTGATTGTTCCTTATGTTCCTAACAGAGCACTTCGCTCTCAATCTGCAGGTTTACTAGTGGTTCCTAGAATTTCTAAAAGTAGAATGGGAGGCAGATCTTTTAGTTATCAGGCTCCTCTCCTGTGGAACCAACTACCAGTTTTAGTCCGTGAGGCAGACACCCTGTCTACTTTTAAGGCTAGGCTTAAAACTTTCCTTTTTGATAAAGCTTATAGTTAGGGTGGCTCAGGTTATCCTGAGCTATCTCTATAGTTATGCTGCTATAGGCTTAGACTTTTGGAGGACATAGGGACCCCCATTTCATCATTCTGCTTCATTCTCTCTCTGTTCTCCTATTCTGCAGAATCTGTTAGTTCAATCTCTAACCTTCTGCTCTCTCTGCTTTTCCTCAGAGTAGCTTTGCCTCGTCTGTTCCTGCTTGGCTGTGACGTCATCCTGGAAAGAAACATCAGCTGTGCTGCTTCTATCAACACCCTTGTTTATAGATGTTGGAGTTCGGCCTGTTTTCCAGTGTGGTCCTGTTTCTCTGACCGTGACTGAGTGGATGTGCTCTCTTCGTCCTCTGGCATGGGAGCTGCCTTGGAGCTCGTCTGCCTGGCTGTGTGTTTCCTGGACGGGGCCGCCTTTTACAGCTGCTTTTTGTATCTCTGCTTCTGTCTCCTTGAACCCCAGTCGGCCTCGGCAGATGGCCGCTCACACTGAGCCTGGTTCTGCTGGAGGTTTCTTCCTGTTAAAAGGGAGTTTTTCCTCTCTACTGTCGCTACAACCATGCTTAGTGTGGGGGATTGTATTTGAGTCAATGAGTCAATGCAATCAACTGGTTTTCCTTAGATAGAAAACTTTGTATCAATTTGACTGTATGATCTGGTTGAACTGTAAAGTGCCTTGAGATGACATGTGTTGTGAATTTGGCGCTATATAAATAAACTGAATTGAAAATTGAATTGAATTGAATTGAATTGAATAGTAGATCAACGTATCAATTTAGGTGAAATCTTCTGGCAGCAGGTGAAGATGAAGTCTACAACCGTTGTTCTCATATATAGAACCTGTGCATCATCTCATGGGTTCCTTAACCTTGAAGTAATTCCTTATTTATGTGCAATCTGAAAATTATTTCAGTAGTACTTCAAGCACTGTAAATATTAGAAAATAAAAAAAATTATCCACATCGTGCTCATATTAAACAAACAAAAAACAAATAAATCTCATATCCTGTCAACTGAGTTGTAGAATCCTGTCCCTAAATAATAAAAGGCACTGCCATAATTAAGATCCTCATCAAAGGAATTTGCAATGTTGTAAAAGCTAATGTGTCTCACGGACCTAGTAAATTATATATATACCGGTATATATTTTTATGCACAAAACGATGACAAAAATGATTACTTCAGGTAATAAAACAGTGTGATTGGCCGTAAGAAGAGCAGAGACACTCTGAGTTTACTGAAGAAAACCTGCTGCTGACCAGGTTAGCTCTAGGAAAATGTTACTACTGTGACTGAAACAGAGGATGAATAAAATCTCTTTATGAACCGGAAAAGTCAGAGTTTCACTGTATTCAGGTTTAGACAACACAGGGCCGGATCTATCAAAGTTTTGCGTGTATAAAAACGTGAGCTATTTCACTGCGCACGCTAAAAAATTTACAAACTGATCTATCAACAGCGTGCTAAAAGGATTTGGTCTTTAAAACGTGCTAAATAGCGCCTCTTATCCATTTAGTACTTTTTCTGCAATGAATATGCAATATGGGGCGTTTAAACGCAAAAGTGCGTCTTGTGGGAGGAGAACATGTAAATATATTAATTTAGCACTCGCAAAGTGATTTATTAAACCTGAAAGCAATTTTTCTAACGGTATCTGACTCTATATTTAACACGTTTCAAAAGAAGGTGCAAATGGTCTGTATGCATAATTGCGCACACATGGCAGCGGTTATTGTCGCAAGAAGGAGACATCGAAATGAAGCAAGGAGACGCAGAGAACGCATTTTTTCACTCCGTGTGAATATTTTTGCAATGAACGAGGAAACGATCATCAAAACATTTCGTTTATCCAGCATTGCCGTTTTGGAGCTGTTGGGGGAACTCCGAATGGATTTGGAGCCAGCCACAAGGAGGACCCACGCAATACCAGATATTACAAAACTCCTTGCAACATTGCACTTTTTTTGCATCTGGGTCATTCCAGCGTACGGTTGCAGCGAGAGCTGGGATCTCCCAATCTCGTTTTTCAGAAGTGCTGGCCGACGTTCTAAATGCCATGTCGCCCTGACGCCCTACTGAGAAACCCCGACCTCCCCACTGCGCCTGTGGAGCAACATGCCAATGCTGCGGGGATGCGTACGCTCGTAATCTCATCCACAGTCACTTCTTGTGAGCCATTTGGTATGTGCATTTTTCTACAGGCCAATACAAAACACCTGTTTTTTGTTTTGTTTTGTTTTTTTAATGCAGTGAAATAAAAATTCAGCCACATACCACCTTAGGGGATAAAGGTTGCCAAAGTTTTTTTTTTTTTATGTATATATATATAATTTTTTTTGAAGGGGGTGGGGGTGTCACTGTAAGATTTAAATTTCTTAATGCACTAGTTTGTACAGACTACAAACTACTTTGCCGCAAACCACAAAACGCGCAAAACCATCATTTAAATAGGGCGTCTCCAACAGTTTTGCACCTGCCACCAGTTACGCAATCACTCTTGTTAAATCACCCGCAAACCATGGTTAAGCCCCTTGAGCAAAATTCCAGTTTGCGAGCGCAAATTACTGCACGCAAAATTGGATCTTGATAAATCCGGCCCTTAGAGTTTTCGGTAAACCTGCTTCATGAAACAGACCCCTGGAAAACAAACTGTTTTTGCTGCCACTCGGTTCCTTACTGGGAAAACATGGGATTGATTTCCATTTTTATGCCAATGACTGTCTAATCTACAGTAGCAGCCATTCAACATTTCCCCACTTTCCTTGATGGGCCCTTGGCTGGTCCCCTACAATTCCTTTTTAAACATCAATCTTTGTATTAAAATAATCTTTAATATTAAGATCTAAAGAGAAGCGTCATCTCCAGGTCAGACCCTGTAATTCAGTGAAAGGGTGGAGTCAGAGTAAAAAAAATATGCAAGAGGACGTCACTCCAGTGGCTGGAAGTTGCAGTAAACTGGGCTGCCATTCGGCTGGCGTTTGACTGGGAAGAGCCATTTTTAATGGCTGCTACAGTATTTGCCCCTAAAGCATGGAGATTTTTCTTTTGTCACTTTTCAGTTTTTCAAGTCTTTATTGAACTGTTTTAACGAGAAGAAAACTGAGGTTTCAATGTTTGGACCTGATTGCCATTGTGACTCCATTACTACAGACCTAGGACCCCTGGAACCATATTTTAAATCGAACATAAACCACAGGTCTTAAGGTGGACCGTGATATTAAATTGGGAAAGCAAATTGGAGCAGTTGTCAGATCTTGCTTATCAGTTAAAATGGGCAAAACTAAAACCTTTTCTTTCACGGCAAACCTTTGAAACTGTTATCCATGCTTCTATTTAATCTTTATTGGATTACTTTAACAGAGTCTATGGTGGTGTGCTTCAGTCTTTGCCTTCTTGCTGACAGCCAGTGCAAAACACAGCAGCTCATCTTTTAACTGGTACTCTGAAATACAGTCACATCACTCCTGTCCTGGCCTCCTTCCACTGGTCGCCTCGGCATTTTAGAGTAGATTTTAAAGGAAAAGTCTGGTCACATTCATAATACAAACTTCTGAAAGTATCTTAAGTATGAAATTATTATACACTTTTCAATAAATGAGTGTTTTTAATTAAGAGTAATTACATTTGAATGTACTTTACTGGAGACATCCATGTTTGTCAAAGAACACTGCTGCCACCTACTGGGTTGTGACTAAATTACTAATTCTTTTTCAACTTTTACCCGATGTATTCCAACATCCAGCTGCCATGCACGTGGGCATTGTCAGTTTCACTATAGCTCTGGTGAATTTCAATGGTGAAGTTCTCTGGAAATCTTCAATAATTGTTGTTGATTGCAGATGTGTCTAGTAGTTCCCATTGATTTTGCTTGTAAAGCGGGGAGAATGGCGCTAGGCTTACCACACCGTGACGTCACTGCTGGAAGATGGCAGGAGGGAGGGGTTGCTATATTTGGACAAAAATGGCCCCCCCAGACTCAGTGATCAGGTCTAAAAATATAATTTAGTTTTTTTTTTTTTACTGATTAACACTAATTTCATTAAATCACTGCGACCGTGTTAGTTTTAAGTATAAATAATGATCCAGTGATTATAGTCTGGCCTCTCCCTCCATCATCTGCTGGGGTAACAGCATCATAGCAAATGACTGAGTAAAGCCCAACAAGCTGATAAGGAAGTTCGGCTCTGTTCTAGGAACTCCTCTAGAACCTCTGGAAATTATTTTACAAAGAAGGATTTCTTATAAATTGAAGAAGATTGTGGACAACAGTGAGCATCCACTTCATCAGACTTTTAAACAACAGCATGTCCTCAGTCAGAGGTTTTTCCATATTTGGTGCAAGACAGACCTCAACAGAAGATCCTTCCTGCCTATAGCTATAAACACAACAACTCGATGAAAAATAAAAAACCCTACGAATTACTGCAACATTTCAATTCAGTAGTTTTGAATTTATTTGAATTGAAATAACAGGCTTTTTTTTTTTTACATGCAGTGAGTTGGTTTTCTATTGAACCAGGCCAGGGTTGGTGAAAGTCCACAGCTTAGCGAGCCTTAGCAGACACCTTATAGGGATGAGGCACTCGTGTAGTTCCAGTGATTCCTTCTGTGCTCAGTGCAGCTGCCTCAGGGACGGAGAACATGAACTTCTGCAATAAGCCCACGAAAAACAGGAACATCTCCATCTTAGCGAGGCCTTCACCGAGACACACACGCTTTCCTGAAGGATGAACACAGCAACACAAACTATTAAAGCTGAAAAAGGCTGTCACCTTTTTTTAAAAGTTAGATCTGGAAAACTAAAATGGGACATACGAAAAATGTCAGTTTTCATAAAAAGTAAAAAAAACAAAACTTTTCTCAATGACAACTAGACTAGACAACTAGTAAGACTCCTGTGTTTGTTTAATGCTAGCAGAGTCAATGAAAACTTTCAGAGGTGATTAAAGTTCAACAAGCCCCGCCACCTACTGGAAATAAAAAAAAATAGTTTCAATCAATTTGGCTTTAATTTTGGTGATTTGTGCAGTAAAGTTATTTTTTTTGCTGTGAAGTTTTAAGGTCAAAGGGTCAGTCAGCTCCTAATTCCCCAAACAAATATGGTTTAAAACTTTTGTGCTGCTATCGTTCTGAGATAATAACGAAAACTTCTAGAGGTCACTGAAGGTCAACAAGCCCCCCACCGACTTCAAAATAAAAAAATTTTGTCAGTAAATAATTGTGCTGATTTGTAAAGCATAACTTGAGCAACTTAGCTGTAGTGTCTCGCTTCTGCTCCCTCATTATGTTGCATCTACTGTACGGTTCAATGGTTATTAAAAAATGACAGTGCTGTACCTGCAGAGAAGGGCAGGAAGGCTGCTTTCTTCACAAACTTTCCATTAGCGTCCAGAAAATGTCCAGGATTGAAGGTGTCAGGAGTTTCCCATTCATTTTTATCAAACAGCACAGAGGTCAACATGGGCAGCACTGATGTTCCCTGAAACATACACAGATTTATTGGAAAACACTATTTGATACGTTAATAGTATTTGAATGTCAATGAAATGAACCTTTGGAATAAGGTAGCCACCCAGAGTTGTATCCTTAGCAGCAACTCTAAGGACATTGAGAGGAACAATGTTACCCATCCTCTGGATCTCATGGATCACAGCGTCAGTGTAAGGCATGTTGGGTCTGTCAGCCATGGAGGGTTGACGAGAACTTCCGATCATTTTATCTATTTCTGCGTGGACCTTCTCTGTAAAATGATTCAGTTTTATAAGAATTAAGCTTAAGTCATTAAGTCATTTTATATCTCCAATAAAGCAATACATGTTATTCATTTATTTTATTTGGTCATTTGAATCCCTAAGAAATGAAGTAAACAACAAAATCTCTGCGGAACATTTTTACTTTGGAAAATAAACTTTTTAACACATTGCTTTTACCTCTGAAAAACAAATATCACTTGGTGGTACAAACTATTTGGACTAGTTTCATATGGGTAAAACAACAGGTTTTAGTAGCCAAACTGGATAGCAGGAGGAACATTTACACACTGTAAACTTTTTATATAGCTTTTTTGACCTTGATCCCCTAAAAACAAAATCACAATATTAATTCAGATTGTACCAGAAAATGTCTAAGTTGTGCAAAGTTATGATGGTTAAGACTGAGCAGGAAGGAAAATTACAATATTTAATCTGAAAAGAAGGGAAAGGCATACTTAAAAAAACAACAACAAAAAAAACAAAAACAAAACATACTTTAAATATATCAATTTGACAAAGTTTTAATCTCTCCATCATCAGATCTGCTCACAGTGAACAAATATTACACAGTTATTATAAAACTGTTTTTAGGCTTTATAGGACCTTTATAGAAGTATAAAATATAATTTATGCCCCTTGGAATTTTTCCCATTGCAACCATAAATCTGTAATAGAGGGATTTTATTTCATAGAGCAAAAAAACTAAACAACCACCGGTAAGAAAAATGATCAATGGTTTTAAACATTTTCATAAATAAAAATCTAAAAAAAATTAGCATAATTCTGTTTTATTCATAATTAGTCTGCATCAAATAGCTTTGATATTCAATAAGATTAAATATTTATCATTTTTCTTTAATCACTGATTGAAAGTCAACCATTCAGAAGAGAAAATCTGTGAATTTGATAATTAAGGATAGCAAATTCCTTCATAAATCTAAGTTTGGACTTTAACAAGACCTTTCTAAGACACTGCTTTGTTGTAATATAAACCCTTTGATTGTAGCCTTAATTATTTTCCAGCTGAACAATAAGCTCCCATCTCCAAACTTTATTTCTGCTGCTCCTCCAAAGTAGTTGTTTGGCTCTTGTCTAATTCTCTGATCAACCCCCCAAACTCCAGACGTGATTTAGACGTTGGTTTTTAGGCTAAATTTGGTCGATCCACTGTAGTCTTGATCAAGTCCAGAAATACTTGTTGAAAACTGGGCTGTGTTTGGTCGGTCTTGTTTTGTCCCACTTTAGTCCAATAATAGATCTTAAAATTACAGCTTTTCACCTTTCACTTTTCATCCAAATGTAAACGTTATTTGGATCTCAATCATGTATTTTAAATGTCTTTTCCACCAATCTTTGCTCAGTGGGAAGGCTTTCATTTCCAGCCTATTAGTTTACGTGGATAATCTTCTCTTTTTAGTTTCTCCACAATGTGACTCCTGATCAGAACACATTTGTTGCTGTTTTAGTTGCTAATGAGCTATCTCTATAGTTATGCTGCTATAGGTTTAGACTTCTGGAGCACATAGGGATCCCCATTTCATCATTCTGCTTTATTCTCTCTCTATTCTCCTACTCTGCAGAATCTGTTAGTTCAATCTCTAACGTTCTGCTCTCTCTGCTTTTTCTCATAGTAGCTTCATCTGGTCTGTTCCTGTTTGGCTGTGACTCCATCCTGGAGAGAAATATCAGCCATGCTGCTGCCAACAATGCCCTTGTTTATAGATGCTGGAGATTGGCCTGTTTTCCAGTGTAGTCCTGTTTCTCTGACCTCGACTGGCTGGATGTGCTCTCTTCATCCTCTGACATGGGAGCTGGCTCGGAGCTCGTCTGCCTGGCTCTGTGTTTCCTGGACGGGGCCGCCTTTTACAGCTGCTTTTTCTATCTCTGCTTCTGTCTCCTTGAACCCCAGTCGGCCTCAGCAGATGGCCGCTCACACTGAGCCTGGTTCTGCTGGAGGTTTCTTCCTGTTCAAAGGGAGTTTTTCCTCTCCACTGTCGCTACAAGCATGCTTAGTGTCAGGGATTGGATTCTAGTCAATGAGTTTATGCAATCAACTGGTTTTCCTTATATAGAAAACTTTGAATTAATTTGATTGGATGATCTGGTGAATTAATGATAAAACTCTTAATGAACTACTGCAGATTTCAAAGCACTGCCGTGAATACGGAATGCTGTTTACTATTAAACTTAAATTGTAAATGTTAATTATTGTTGTCGGGGATTGAATCTAATCTGAAGATATACAAAAAATATAAATAAGATGAAAAAATAAATAAAAAAATATATATTTTCTTCGATTAATATTTTAGTGATTTGTGCATATTATTAATTACAAAAAAACACCTGATAAAAAAAGATAAATTTCAAAGAGTATAATTTCTTGCAAAAGGTACTGTAACATATGACCCACCTTGCACTTCAGGATGTTTTACAAGGAAAAGCAACGCCCAAAGCAATGTGGTGGCAGTTGTTTCTGTTCCAGCCAGGAAGAGGTCAAAAGAGCAGAAGGCCAGATTGCTCTCTGTGAAGCCCAGGTTGGATTCCTTATGCTAGACCAAAATATTTACTTGTTAGTTAACCACACTTAGCTTTACAGAATTCCCTATGTTTAGAGTGTAATGCATTTTTGGACAGTGGTCTACATACATTCTCCATTTCAATAAGGAAAGCGTCAATGTAGTCTCTTGGATTATTGCGATCTAGTTCCTTCTTGTGCTTTTCAATTTCCTCATGAATAAGCTCCTTTGTAGCATTGTAGTTACTAAAGAGTTTGTTGTGAGGACCTGGCAGATATTGCATCACTTGAGGAAATCCCAGATAAAGCTGTTTGGGATGAAATAAATTATAAAACACTGCCAAACCCATTTCTTTCTTCATGATATACAGTTAATCTTATATGATTGAATCAGAGACTCCTTCATGGTTCACTGACTTACCTGACCCCATATGCTCCCTTCTATCCAGATCCCCTCAGACATATACCTCAGTATTGTCCTAAACCTGTGGTCATTGTAGTCAAACCTTTTTCCCATAACAAGCTGGCAAATAACATTGGAGACAGCATTGTTGAAGAGGCCAGTTGGGTCAAAAGGGTTTCCTGAAGAAGAGTATTAAAGCAAATTAAAACAAAGCTGCCTTGCATGGTTATATGATGCATGTGACAAACTATCTAACCCACCTTTCTCACTCTCGATTTCCTCCTGCAGGTGTCGGATCTCCTCACAGATGCTCAGCTCCAGCGTGTTTGTGCCGAGGCCAAATGAACGTAAGGTAGATAAAGCAAAGCGTCGCTGTTTCCTCCATATTTCTCCATTGTTGAAAAAAAGACCCCCTGAATATACAGTAAGTCAACAAAGATGTCAAGGGCCTCCCTTGATGCCAGCAGTTTGTAGACAAATAATTGAAAGCTGATTTCCCACCTGAGGGTTCAGTGTAAAACCTGTCAGCTATCGCATTAGGTGGTCGATCCACAAAGTTCTCTGCTTGTGTCACTATGGCCTCTTTCACAATCTTGTGTCCGTTCAAAATGACCAGGTTTTCCTTGCCAAGGCGAAAGCTGAAGACATTGCCATAGATGTCAGCTAACTGGGAAAACAGCGAAAAGCAAAATATGAACAAAACACTGCAGGAAATTGGTAATATAATATGTTCAAAATGTCAAAATGAAAACAGCGTGAAATGTCCAACAGGGGAAAATATTCAGGTTCTTTGTATTTTTGCATTTCAAAAACACCGTGTCACCATCTGCTTTTACATGTGCTCGGGTCCTAAAAACTCCTGCATGTTTAAATGGGATTTCTTCCAATAAAACAGACACCTGATTAACTTTTGAGAGCTTGTTGTTGATTATGAATTTTATTATGAAATATAAATGCAATCAATTTAAGGTTATTGACATAGCGCAGATTGACAACATATGAGCACTGAAGGCAGTTTAAAAAGAGTTCAACAAGATCATATGGTCAGATTGGTTTATTAAAGCTTTTTATCTAAGGAAAACCAGCTATTGCATTGATTCATTGACTAAACTGCAATCCCTCACATTAACCATGCAATGCAGCTACAGACCAGAGGGAAAAACATCCTTTTAATCCGACTGCTACATTTTATTAGCTTAAATTTTAATTACTTAAAATAAACAACTACAGAAAACATGTTCCTATGAAAACTCACATTTATATAGACACAAATTTAATTTGTCTTTAAGCAGTTAGTTTAAAATGCATTTGTAAATCAATACCTTGCTGAAAAAAATGTGTGGATGTTTGCTATCAAAACTGAGGAGGTTCCCCACAAAGGGGAGAGCTCTTGGTCCTGGGGGATAGTTTGCTGGTTTTCTATTCCTAAGGAGGTCTGCTATCAAAAGAAAGGAAAAAATAAACAAAATAATTCCTTTCAGGTCCAGGCTTGGCATAAGGTTGTAAAGCCACATAGTTAGAGGCCCCAAAAGGCAGCAGCAGAGGAAATGCTTGCGCTTATCAAGATTTTCCACAACTTTTGAGGGACTGTACAAAGGAGAAATTCTCATATAACCTGCCGAAAACCCTTCCTCCAGCCTCTCAATGAACCTAACCTCTGTTCTAGTACATGTGTGATGTAACCAACTGTAATCTTACTCCCATGAGGATTTGGTGCAGCCCTGTAAATTTGAAAAAAAACCCTTCCTGGATTTCAAATGTTTCCCCAGATTTTTGTTCTTCATTGTAAAATGAGATTTTTACTCTGAACTGCAAAAGTTTAGAAGAAACTGTCGAGTGGCTAAGCTCTTCTTTCTGCTGTCTTGATATTTTACCAACAGGTTGTATTAAAAAGGTTTTACCTGTTTTAGATTCTGAGTTGATTCAAATCATAAACACATCCTGCATTTTGGTTGTTATCCCCTGGGGCTTAAAAACAGAAATTATCAAACCATTGTTGAAAAAGAGTAACTCGGAAAAATTGGTCCTGCAGAACTACAGGCCCATCTCAAACCTCTCCTTCATCAGAAAGATTAGTTAAAAAGTTTTGTGCCAACTGTTCAAAAGTGCCTTCTTAACATGAACAGCTGCTTTGATGTCAACCAGTCAGGTTTCCACGGCAACCACAGTACAGTACAGTACAGTACAGAGATTGCCCAGATTAAGGTGTTCATTGACCTCCGTGTAAATTGAGACGCTGCAAGAATAGCAGTGCCGGTATTATTGGACCTCAGTGCAGCGTTTGATACTGTTGATCATCATATGGAAACCTATTTTTGTAGACTCACTACCTCAGGAAAACTCCAACCCCAGGCTGCTCAGAGTTACTTGAGAGCCTCCGCAAACTTGCCCAGCTCTTCTCTCTCTCCGATCAACAGAAGGACAGCATCCTTGCTCGCTGCATGAGTTTGGCACCCATAGATCACGGTGTACTTAAAGGTAAGGCCAGTGCTCAAATAAAAAACACAGCCCAGTTTTCTTATAAGATAGTGACAGTGTATGCTCATGGAGCCAGATTAAAACATGCTGAGTTGAAAACTCTGTCCTCATTATCAATGTCATTTGACTCCCCCTGCACCTGAACTTTGTCTCATTCCTGTGGCTGTTCAAATGTCCTGTTGAATAGGGTTCTGATAAAATGTTTTTAGTGTTTTATAACTCATCTGCAATAAAAAACTGCCTTAGCATCTTCATTTTTCACATATGACATTTATTTTTTTCCTCTGCTCCCCGCCGTGAACAGATTTCTCTAGGTGCAGGGTTGGGTGCTTCAGTGGGCACTGTCTCATTCCTGGTGGCTGCCAGGGTCGTTCCCCTTAGGGACTGGCCTGGTTTGGGGTTAGGTCCCTTGGGGGTCAGACTCAAGGTTCTCTTGTCTGCTCTTCTCTGGTGGGTGTGGCCATCTCTATGTCTGTCCTCCTGTTGTCCTGATCTGGGGTGCCTCTGGATAAAGGGGCTCACATCACCTCTTTTGCTGTCCAGGGCCCTGCAGGGCACGTCTGCAGCCACTCGAACCTGCTATTAAGCATATTTTCCTTCTGAAGAAGTTTTGGGAATTATTTATACATGAGCATGCTCATGCCTGTGTTTCCAGGTGTTCACGGATACACACTAATACTAAATACTAAGCTGTAGCTATAGATATATAACACCCTGAATAACATTGTATGATCACCATACAGTAGGGTTTGACTTGGAAAAACATGGAAAGGATACCCGCTTCTCTTGAAGCTTTTTTTTAGTTTACCTCTGTTGTCTGTAGTCTTCTTTTTGCTATAATATTCTGTTTTCTGTTCCTCTCATTTTATACAGGTGTGGAAACAGACACCTACAGTAGGAGTTACTGTATATCTTCTGTGTCTATTTTTGCTGTTTTGTTTTATCTTCTCCTATTTCATGCACTCTTTCCTGTCTCCTCTTCTTCTCTCCCCTTAGTACTTATCCCCTCTTTCTTTCTAACCTCTCTTTCTGTATCCACTGTATACGATTTTACTCCCCAAATAATGTTAAATAAAGTTTAACATACAAATATCAAGTAGGACCTTATGGCAACAGTCATACTGGTTTGCTTGTGAAAGCAAAGCTATTGGGCTATCAGCTAGCCATGGGGCATCTATTCCCAGAACTTTATTGGCAAAAAAAAAAAAAAAGAAAAAGAAAAAAAAAATTTTTTTTTCTCAGAGGCTAAACTTATGTATTAGTTTTTGAGTCTTCAGTACCAAATAAAAACAGTCTTAGACATTTCATGGAAATTACAGTGAAATGATATATGTCTAAATAGGATTATTAGTATGCTTTATATTTTGCTTTTTTTTAATTATAAGACCTTTTAAGTCAGCATCTGTTGCTTTTGACTCTGTTATCTTTGCTACAGGTTGCAAAAGTACAGGCAGGAGATTGTATGATTAGAGCCATGCCAAACGGACAACGTTCACTGATAGCAAAAGGCATAGATCCTGTAAACTGTTTATTAGCTTATACATTAACTCAAATGTGTAGCCAAAAAAAAAAAAAAATGAAAATAAATCTGTCTAAGGAATACAGTTTCATGGTGACTTGGCAGAAAATAATGGCAGTCACTGAGCAACATTATACATTTTTATTAATATTGTATATTAGAGGAGTTTATTTTGCTGCAGAAGGACAATGAATGCTGGATGAGAAATATCATCTGTTTATTTTATTATTGTATTGAGCTACAGTCTCATCCGTCTCTATAGCAGGTAACTCCACTCACAAAGGCCCCGAACTGCAGAGATTTGCATGTCACTCACTGTCTGCAGCGAAACAACTAAAACACACATAGACAGGCAAGATCCAGACTGAAGATAAACATTAAATGGAAACAGCTGATTACCTCTTCTTCATTTCACCTTTGGAGTTTAACGTCCTTTGCAACAATTATACTTCACCTGTTGCTGCTTCTGTAATGCTGAAACACTTCTGATAGAAGTCACTCTTTTATAATTGAAAACTCCACAAATAAATGATAAAATAATGGAGTGGAAATCCAACTTGCAAATGTATGTAATGCTAAAATAAAAGTGTAATAAAACACTCTTTTACAGCTGAAAAGTTAAAGAACACCTTTTGTTTTCACCAGTCTGCATACAGACAGTATACGCAATGACACAGCAGCCTTTTACACTCTTTATAAAAAGATCAGAACCCTTTCAAGTATTTTTTTCAAAGTGACTGCATTGCAGCTTATACAATATCTACAATAAGAAAGCATTACCAGCGCAGATTTTTAAATTGACTTATCCATTCAGTCATCCATTTTCCGTCATGCCTATATCTGCTGGGGTTGCGAGGGATGCTGGTGCCTATCAGCTGTCTACGGGGGAGATGTGGGGTCCACCCTGGACAGGTCGCCAGTCTATTGCAGGGCAACACAGACACAAACGGGACAGACAACCATTCATTCACCAATTCACACATATGGAGAATTTAGAGAAGCCAAGTAACCTAACAGTGTTTTTGGAGTGTGGGAGGAAGATGGAGTACCCGGAGAGGACCCACGCATGCTCAGGGACAACATGCAAACTCCATGCAGAAAGACCCAGGGCCGGCAATCGAACCCGGAACCTTCTTGCTGCAAGGCAGCAGTGTTACCCACTGTTTCACTGAGCAGAAATGCCCAAAATGCCACCCCAAATGCCACTGAGCAGCCTGAAAAGAACATTTCCATTTCTACAGTGCAGCAGTGATCAAAATGGGCTTGAGTCAGGCATGCAGAAGATTCTTGATTACTTGTGTCAGGCTATTTCCACGTCTAAGTTACCTGCTGTCAGTTTGTTAGGAGTGGCTTCCGTCTCCCTCTAAGCTGTTTTTGGATGCTCCTGATCAGTGTTGGGCTTTTCTCTGCCAAGGTGAAATTAATTTCAAACTCCAGCCCTCTGAGTATCCTACCAATAGGGCTAACTAAGGTACCATACGTTATTTCTGTTGGGATATATTACCCAAAATGGAGCAACAACCAGTTGGGTGATCTGAACCCATCCCCCTCCTCTTCTCCACAAAGGAGAACAAAGGATTCCCTCCAAAACAAGAACAAAGAAGACCCGGCACACTGTAGGAGGCGGCCACCTCAAATGGACCAATCAGCCGAATACTCCAACAGGAAGTTCCCCCATGTCACTCATGGCACAGACAAATCAGCCGATACTTCCACAGGAAGTGCTCCCGTGTCACACATGGTTTAAAAGCCAGAAGCAGACATTTTTCTCCCTCTTTTCCGGTGGGTTTTTATTCCGATAGGAGAGGCTCCATTTCATGTGAAATACCAGAAGAAAGCTGACTGGAAGTAGCTTTTGTTTTCCTGCGTCAAAAGTCACGGATCGCAGTGTTCCATTGTGCATAGCGGCTGCGCCAACTGGGGAGACAGAAGCCTTTGAAGCTGACTGCGGAGTGAGTTTCGTTTTCCCCTTTCCTTGGACGAATCGGCTGAGAGGACGCTCTTTTGCCGACCTCCTCCTAAAATCCATCCTCTTCAACTCGTGAGCTTATCAAGCCCTCTGCTGTAGCACCGAACTGACTGAACTTTCCCGAGGGGCGGACCGGTGGCAGAGAACCCTCTGCCCGGCAGAAACCAAGCCGCGGTTCAGGCAGATTCAGGGTTTTGAATTAATGCTGATGTTTTTTTTAATCTGTGCTGATTAAGAGTTTGTTCGTTTGGTTGAAATAAGTGTGTGTTTCTTTATTCTCTTTCTGAGCTTTCCTGTCCTCTTTGTTGTTTCTGCTTTGAGATAGTCATTAAGTTATCACATTCAGCCAGTGTTGGGAAAGTTCTCTTTCTATTAGTGGGGGAAAAAAAATGCAGGGGGGAATATAAAAATATCAACTAACCATGCAGACCCTCATGCAGTACCTCCGTAGACCCTCTAGGGGTCGCGGATCCCCTGTTGAAGACCTCCGCTCAAGAAGATTTTACTAACACAAACTGAGGGACCAGGCTGAGGTAGGAATTTAAGGTTACTGAAGTGCAGATTTTTTTACTGAAAGCCGGCGGGCAAACTTGTTGCCATCATCCTCACCGACCACCTGGTCATAAACCTGTTTTAAGTC